TCTTCTCCCGCTTGTTCCTCCGTCAAGTTCCTCCTAATCCTCCTATACGTGCAAACATATGATATTTGTCCTTCTCTGCCTGACTTATTTCGCTCAACATAACACCCTCAAGGTCCATCCATGTTGCTACACATGGCCAGATTTCATTGTTTCTCATTGCCATGTAGTATTAAGTATGGCTAAAATTAATCATTTTCAGTTATGTTCAGTTACATTCAAACTTCTCAGAGTAGAACCATACATATGGAAAATGTATTCTATTATATTTGCATATAATAATGCTATGGGAGAAGAATAGTAAGCAGGTATCCCTTTGCTTCCTGTTTTACTTTCGAAAGTAGTATTTCTTGTACTTTATCTAAAAGATTGTACCTTGATTATTCCCATTGGTAATCCAGGTTAATAAATGAAGTTGTGTTAGCATTTCAAAAGTGTTTGACTTTCACAATTGAGGTTGAGTTTGGCATCTAGGACTCAAGCTTGGTTAATCTGTTCATTTAATACTGATTAAGAAACATGACCTAAGGAAACGATGTCTAAGAATAATCAGAAGCATAATTAATTTTCTAATTATTCCATGTCCATTATTGAACCCCAGGACTCCCATCTTTATTCATTAAGTCAAATATCTCTTGCAGCGGTGAGAAGCGAGCCCTTTTTGTTTAGCTTCATCTGCATTGTTAGTATTAAGAGAACTGAAGTGTGAACATGGCCGAGCATGAATGTATATTACCATCACATGATAAAAACAGTATAGTTGGTGCTTGGCTAATCAGACCATACAAATCCTGGGATCCTGTTCTACATGTTTTGAGATACTTGTTTCTGTTTGGAATACCTTCTTATAATTACTATCTTCATTATTATTCTATTATGTATTAATATATAACATTTGGCAAAAGTGTAATGTCTTATCTTTTGTGGAAAGCTGTGATTCTCGAATAAGGTTGTCAATTGCCTCTTAGGGGAGAGAATGTAGAAGATGCTTTCCTTGAAGCTGCCAAGAAAATCTATCAGAACATTCAGGACGGAAGCCTGGATCTGAATGCTGCCGAGTCTGGTGTACAACACAAACCTTCAGCCCCGCAGGGAGGCCGGCTAACCAGTGAACCCCAACCCCAGAGAGAAGGATGTGGCTGCTAGTGACCTCTTTGCCGTAGCTCCCATTTGACCTTTCACCTCTGTCTGTTGGAAGCAGTACTTTTTACTGCCTCATTGTCTTCTGTACATCTTACTGGGTTTAATTAAAAAAAAAAAAAAAGAAAAAACTCTGTTGTAAAAACAGTTTAACACAATACTAAACTGCTAAACAACTAGATGTAATCAGGTTATCAAAGGCAAGTAGAGTAATAAATCTCTCCTGCATGGTAAATCTAGACTTTTTTTTCCCCTTGATTGTCCTCGTGATAGGTATGTCACCAGTACATGATTTAAACTGAGCACTGATGCTGGACTTAAATGATTTTTATCCTTCCCTCTTTTTGGCAAGGCTTTGTCTTACTGTATGGTTTAATTTGATGATATCTTAAGCCTTTCTCCCCATCTTTACCTGTTCAAGTATGTCTGTTGTAACCAATAAGTTTATTGCTGTGAAATGACTTCTGATGATAGAGAATGGGCTCTATAACTGCTTTTGTTTTGTTTTTGTTGGATAAATTTCCTGTTGTGTGGGTGGCATTTTTCTCGTGGAGGTTTGCTTCTGTCTTGGCCTTGCACAGGGAAATACCCACTTCTCTTTTCTCTCGTGCTTAATTAATAGCTTTATCTTTTTTTTATTTTTACACCATTTTATCCTTTTCTCTTTAGCAGAAAGTAAATATGTATAAAATTTGAAGGAACCGAACTAACAATACATTCTGTGTATATTATTTTAATGAAGAAAATAAATTGATTACTGGCTTTGGAACAGTATAAAATACCAGTTTGTACAGTATGACCTATATGTGACCATGTTACTCCCTTCCATCTCACACAAGGAAATAGACACAACTGCAGCTCACAGGTAATACTGGCTCCACCCTCTGGTGCTGGCAGTGTTTGGGGACACGATGCTGGAAAGAGCTCCTGGCACGAGAGGATTAACACTAGCAGACTCTTCCATCTTTGCACCGTGGCTTACCTGCTGAATTTCTTAACTGTTCTTGTGCAATCGACAATGTGCTAACCTGCTTTTCTCTTTGTAAACGTTTTACATTACAGGCTGCATTTCTTGCCTTACTGTATAGAAAAAGAAAAAAGGCTGGGTTTATTATTGCACATTTTAAGCTTTTATAACTTTATCTTCTTGGAATGGTGAGATTGTGTACTGGACAGTCAGAACCGCAGGTCTGCTGTTAAGGGATTTTAAATTGTGCATTTTTAACACTACAGTGAAGTAATTTAAGATATCCCTTGTGTTCTTAGTATAAGGGGCTTTTTTTATGTCATGTTGGCATAAATTGTTTTGTAAAAGGGAAAGTGTTTCTAACTGTGTTTCAGTGTTTGTGCGACGAGGACAAATAAGTTACTTCTTTGCACTGGGTGGTTTGTCCACTGAGAGAATACTGTGTTGCAAGGGAAACCGTCTCTTCGGACAACAGACTCATGTTTTACCAGGTTCTTTACTTCTTCTGATTGATTTCTGATCGAGTTTATGGTTCAGACTGAGAACTGAGGTTATTTGAAGTAGGATAAGTAAACCTTAGTGTATTATATAAAATCACTCAGCTCAACTGCCGTGTTTAAAATACACATTTCAAATCCCTCTTTACAGACACTAAAGTAAAAATAAACAGTACGACTTTCTGGGTTGTAAACATGTGATAGTACTGGAGTATTGTATAGTCAATGTTAAATAAAAGCCAAAACTGGAATGTGCAGAAAATAGGATTGGGTTAATTTGTGGACTCATCTTTATTTTTGTCTTTGTTGAACTTTTTTAAAAACAAGCTTCCTGAAGTAGATCGGTGTATTCTGTTAAAGACTTACAGTGACCCATTTTGCTTACCCCGTTGCTTCACAAGGGACTTGCCCAGGGACCATGACCTGCTGGTGTGTGTATATATTTACAAAAACAAAACCACCCACCCACCCATTGGGATATACGGTAGCAATCAGAGACTAAAGACTGCGGCTTGTCGAGGTGCAGTGCCCTGGTTCCCAAAGTTAGTTACAGTGGGTCTTCTTGTTTTTGTGACAGGATTTATTCAGACTGCTGTACTCTTCATTTGATGTAACAAAATGCTATTAATCTAAATATTTGTAAATAAAGTACCTGTATCTAGATTAAATTAAAATGGTTTGCATTATTTTCTGAATTATAATAGGATTTCGTATTTTCTTCAGGCAAACAATTATCTGGCAGAAGTTGTCAGTTTTTATTGCAGAATTGTCCTTGTTGTATAGAGGGGTCTATGTATATAACATAAATCCACGTCACTCAGTAATTGACCTACACTTTCATCCTTGTGTTCGGATCACACTTGCAGTGTGTTGACTTTTTTCAGTGTGAGATCAGCACCCTTGGTGCCTGAATAGTGTTCTCCCTTGACTGTGCTCGGGGCCAAATTCTGTTATTTGCATGTGTAACCCCCTGTAATAAACTTGGGTGCTCAAAACCAGAAGAGAAAATTGTCATATTGTAACACACATGTGCCAGACACTGGGCAAGTACACTTTGGAGAGTGAAGTTCTTGTAACCGTTAATCCAGGAGAGCTTACTACTTGTGTGGTCACCCGCTTCTCTGGGTTACCTGCTAACCGTGCGCCTGTGAGGAGGCCCTTGATTAGTAATTGGTGCTCAGTACTCTTCATGGATTAGATGTTCCAGTACGATGTCAAGTGTTTTTCAAGGATAATAAAGTGTTTGATGCAGTAGCCTTGATTAAAAAATTTTTTTATTTGGTGGTAACGTTCACATAACACTAGAGGCAGTGGAGTTTCTGTAGAAAGCTGTCTTTTGGAACCAGGCGTTTGACTTCATACATTAATTACCTCACCTAATTCCAGACTGTAGTTCTGAGAACTTGTTTGCTCTCATATCCATTGTTTCAAGTGTGATCTTTTTACAGAGATGTGGTTCAATTCACTTCTTAAGCAGAACATGGGAATAGAGAGGGTGCAAGTGGCAGTTTAGAAAGAAGATATTTTACCCTATTGAGCACAGGCACAGAACGGAAAAATGTGTCCCTGAAGGATTTCACTAAAATTGTGCAGAGGCCTGACTTTTAAGCATTTTGCGAAGACTCATGAAAATGAAACAAGAATGTAATTACGAGACACCACCAAATCCATTTTTGCTTTGGAAGTACATGCCTTTTAGAACTTTCTAAGTGTTAATAAATTTTATGCCACTTTCATTTGTCTTCATTGTACCTATATTTAGCCCTTATCTTCACTGGTCCAGGTCCGGCAGAACACCCTGGGCGTACAAACCTCCGTGAGCGGTGAGGGTTTACTGCACTGTTATGTACTGTCCTGCTTCAGAAGCTGTCTATGGGCCCAGAAAAGTCCTTGGCAGTATTTTAAAACCTAATCTGTAACATGTAGTTTCGTACTTCACTTAACCATGAGAGCGAGTCTGTTGCCATGTGGTCTTTTGTGACGGTAGCTGCTAATCTTGTTCTTAAATAACGTATTTGTAGATCATGGAGTTGAGCCATTAAATATAGTAGTTCAAAACCTTAAAAGCCTGAACACAATTTGAATTTACCACTGGATCAGATTCTACTAAATTTCCACCAAAGAATATTTTTGGTTGAGAAAAAGCACCTGAAGTGTAGTTTTATGACAGAGTTCCACGCAGTGCGTGCTCCCTGACAGCTACATCACACTTCAGGCAAAAGATGGGAAACCATTTGGAAGACGGCCGGTTCCGTGGGGAGTTCAGGTAGAAGTTTGATGGCTTTACTGTAGACCTATGAAATGTAAAGTCAGATGGCAGACTATTTTATCTTTTATTTTCATATGAAAATAGATTCTAAGCAAAATCCAAAAATAAAATTTGACACTATAAATGAAGGGCTGGAGTACAGTTTTTTCTCTTTGCAGCTACAATTTCACCAGTTTATAGCTTCAAATTTGCAATTATAATCAGCACTAGTCTTAATGGCAACACATTTCAAAGATAAGAAAACAAACCCCTCAGCCGTCGAGGACCCTGGTTGAAACCGTACACGGCGATTCCCTTGTGTACACGTGGTTTACAGAGGCCCCGGCGTTGGCGATGCAGGTGGAATAAGCCGGGGAGGTGCAGCGTCCGCACTCACCGGCTCTGGATAAAAACCGAGTGGCACTGCAGTGCTGAAGTGAGGTAGCACAGAAGGGATCTCAGATGGGCTTCCTCACCTGGCCCACCGGCTCTCTCCCTGCAGTAAGACAAAAGGGATGAATTCATGCAACGGCAAGTAGTGACGGGACCAAGTGACAGCACAATGGCTAATGGGTAAAATGCATATTTGAGCACCTCTTTGGGAAAATGTTTTGAGATGAACCGCTGTATAAACTACCCAACCGTAAAGGTAAAAGCTTACTTAAGACTGTACGGTAAGACAGAACTGAAGATCTTGCAAATGAAAATGGTAGTTAAAAGAACTGTGTACTATGTACCTACCCGCGAGCCGGAAGCTGGTGACTTCGGGTGACTGCCTGGAAGTTGTGACGGACCTTGTAGAACGTGAAAGGAGCTCTGGAAAGGGAGATGAAATCACTGGGCTCAGAAGCCAGCCCCTAACTCCAGCCCAGTTCAGGCTTTCATCCCACACACCTGGATTATGACCCCAGACTCCACAATAATTCTAACAATCTCCCCACCTGCCCCCCTCAACCCCGATGTGCCTCTAACACTTCTGTTCCTCTCCTGGGTCCGAATTCAGAGCACCTCAACCCCTGGGGCCACCACCATGAGCTGACAACGGAGCTCGGCGCCCAAACCCCTACGCACTCATCTACGGGGCTCTGGGCTGTCTTCCCTCTAAAGCTACCTTCCCAACACTCGGTGCCTTGGACTCTTTCTCAAGGCCTCATAGTTCTGGCCTGGACCTGACTTGGTCCCACCACAGGGGTTAAGGGAATCCTGTTCAAATCCGGGCTTTACTGCTGCAGAGCTGTGTGCCCAGGAAACAGGCAACCGTTTCTGAATGTTCCTTGAGGCACAGTCATACCCTATACTGCTCTGCAGTGGCGACACATGAGCCCTGAAGTCCTGGTTTCATCTTTTGCCGGGACATCATTTTTCATCTCAAGCCCCTTCTTTATCTATGTAGATACTTCCTAGCTCCTAGGATGCAAAGGCTACATGAACTAATACGTGTAAAGTGCTTAGTACATGCATTCAGTAGGTGCTCAAAAGTGGTAGTTACCTATGTCTGACTAATTCCAAGAGTGTACTTCATGTTCCTCCTAAACTATTAGTGACTTTGTCTACATCCCACACAGAATGCCTTCGTGACCTTCAGGGGTTTTAAAGACCCTGCGCTAAGAGGCCCAAGTTCACACCTTTGCTGAGGAGGAAGAGCGGGCACACACCTGTCATCCTTCCCCAAGACAGAGGGAGACAGACGAGGACTCGGTCTGGCCTCACAGCCTCAATGCTCTACCGACGGAGAAGAGAACCTCAAAGACTCCTCCATGGCCCCAACGGCCTCCAGGTCTAGGCTCTTCCCTAGGCCGTCACCTTATCCTCTCTGTCCACCAACCAACCGACTCTAGTTTTCTCGGACCATTTATAAAATAGCAAATCTTTCATAAGACAAGTTTGCCAGAGACTCGGAGGTGGCATTCATGTCATTCTGAGGCTCCCCTGTGTAGACTCTGGACCCCAAAGCTTTCAGAGACTCTCTGCATATTTCAGAACGGAGCCTCCTCTTACCTGGTCCGGTCCAGGCTGACAGTCCTCAGCAAGGGAAGACTCTGTCTGCGACAGACTGGGTGACGCCGTGGAGTCTCCGGAGGTGCTGGTGACCAGTTCCCCCAGAGCATCGACCTGCCTCCTCAGGCTGTGTAAGGTGCCCTCTGTCTGCCGTTTGCCCTTAATTAACACTTCTGCTTGCTTGGACATACAGTGTCGAAGCTGGGCCTGAAAGCGTTAATGGTGAATGAAGCTTAGCGTTTTATACAGAAGCCACGTACCAGAACTATTAGTAGCTTCCTCATGCTTAACACCTGACAGGCAAATCTGATTATTATAAAGTAGGAACGGCTGCTGAAACTGCCCTTGTCCTTAAGAAGAAAGATGCAGAAGGGCGCTGGGGGCTACTGTTGGTGTGTGTAAAACTTGTACAATTCAGCGTGGACATTAACTAGGCCTGTTTTTTTTTTTTTTTTTTGGATGTTTATTTTGAGAGAGAGAGTGGGGGGTGTGCAGAAAGACAGGGAGAATCTTGAGCAGGCTCTGTGCCCAGCACTGAGCCCCACATGGGGCGGCTCGATCCCACAACCCTGGCATCATGACCTGAGCCAAAATTAAGAGTCAGACGCTTAACTGAGTCACCCAGGCGCCCCTACCTGAGCCTTCTGCTCAGCCTGTTCTCTGCACAGTAACGACGCTTGGAATTCCTGCATCCCTGGCCTCCCCGTTAAATTATCACCTCATCTCTCTCTTTTCCGCCCAGACTTGGCAGAAGATGGGTTTATACTTGACATCTTCAGTGTCTCTCACGGCAAGTTCAATCCTCAGCCCCGCAACTACTAGCCGGCGTGCGCCTGTGCTGCTTCCTTAGGATTCTCTCCAAGGCCACCACAGTACTAACACAGCTTTCTGTGACCAAGCAATGTCCTGCATCTGTGCTGTCCGGTATCGTAGCACTAGCCACATGTGGCTATTGAGTCACCTCAAGTGTGACAACTGAAGAACTCAATTTTTAAGCTGACTTAATTACAATTAAGTGGTCACACGTGACTGGAGGCTAGCGGACATCAAGGACCTCCACTCCCTCGACACGGTCCACGGCTCCTTCTCGGCCCTGCTGTACAAGCAGCCATTCTCCAAAGACACACCCTGTCCTCTCGTTCTCTCTCCCTCCCATTTCCTAACTCCCACCTATACCCCTGACCCCCAAATCTTTAGGTCAACACTGACCACTAAATCCTAGACTCGTCAGCTAACTATGGAGAGAGTGGCCCTGGATGTCTCACAGGCCTCAGACTCTGCATGTTCTGAGCCAAACAACTTCCTGTCTGACCCCACACCTACTTTTACGGTATTCCCAGGCTTTCCCCCAGCCACTGGCCCGCGTTTTGGTTCATCCCCGCTTCTCTATTTTCTGTTCCAATTACTCGGGTTCTGGTTAAGAACTACAATTCCTGGTTTTGAATGCTGACCCTGCCACTTACTTACTGTGTGACGCCAACCTCTCTGAGCTGCGACCACGTAGTCTAGAAAACTGCTGATGCTGTCACGGAGGGAACAGCAGCAGTGCGTGAAGGTCAGCAACCTCCCCTACTCTCCTCAACACACCAGGCATCTCATACTGTATTGTTTTAAAGGGCGACCTTGTGGGGCACCTGAGTGGTTCAGCCAGTTAAGCGTCTGACTGTTGATTTCGGCTCGGGTCATGGTTTCCGGGTCGTGGGATCGAGCCCGGCATCGGGCTCTGTGCTGAGTGTGAAGCCTGCTTAAGATTCTCTCTTTCGCCCTCTGCCCAACCCCCCCCGCTCTGCACACGTGCATGCTCTCTCTAAAACAAAAAAAATAAAAGATAAATAGAAATAAAAAATAATAAAGGGTCACCTTGAGTCGATCTTCACGGTGGCGCAGTTTCTCCCGGAGCGCCTCCCCACGCCAGTGTTCGTCCTTTCTCAGAGAGAGAGGGAAGCATCAGAGTCCCCAAACACCACCAGCCTTTCCCTCCTCCCTCCCTCCCCCTCGACCCCACTCTGTTTTTCAGCTTATCTGGGGAGAGGCAGGAATCAAATCATCTTTCTACAGAGTCCAGAAATCAGCAGGATAAACACTTACCATTATGTGAATCTGGGAAAAATTCAGTTTTTCTTCAAAAGGTGATGGTCTCTGACTCACGGTGAATGGGAAGTTCTCTTTCAGGCTTTCCAACCCTCCTTCTAGGCTTTCATTCCTTTTCCAAATGGCCTCCAGATCTGCTGGCAGTTCTGGAAGAAACTGGTTGAGATTCTTCAGGCTGGTTCTGATTTCATCTTTCACCTCAGATTTAAGCGACCTCATTGCCTCACTGATTTCGATTTGTCTTCTCTCCAAATCTTTTTGGTTGGTCATCTAAAGGGTGAGAGTCAAATACCATTGGGTAAGGTCTGGGACTTACTTGCAACAGAACTGTTTGAATGCGTCAAGTATTTCTGGAACTTTCCATCTGCAGAATCAGGCTCTCCCAGGGTCGGCGTGAACTGCTCTCAGTCTGGTTACATGACAGGATGGCAGAGCTTTCTCCTGAGGTCGGGGGCGGGTGGGGGGAGGTCACTTCTTGCCAGGTCCCTGGGGATCTGGGTCTCCTAGACTCGTTTCTGGCAGGAAATCTAACATTTCAACACAGTTCACTGGGACATGATAACATTTCAGGCTGAAGAACTGCCATTTTTCTTTCAAAAACTAACATAAGAAGCTTGCCGCACTTAAGGGGATTTTAGAAGTACATTCGGAACAAATGCGTTTTCCTCGCAGAGGTGCATTTCTCAATTGTAAGACTAGAAAAACAGATTTCATTTAATGGACATTCTCATAACCGGCTTTTCACAACGTCCACAAAGAAATGCTCCGACTGGAAGAGCTATCTGAGAACGAGAACCTGGGCCCGGCGGGGAGCGGGCGGCCTGGCGCACCTGGTTCCTGAGCTCCGCGTACTCGTGCTGCATCTGGCTGAGCTCCTTCATCAGGCGCCGGGCTCGCTCGTGGTTGTCCTGGGCCACCTGCTCCGCGGCGGCCATCTCCTTCTGCATGCAGCTCTTCTCCTGTCTTTGCTCCTGCCACAGGGGAGGAGGGAATGGCCCAGGGCTGCGGCCCACGGACGCGTGCGTCACTGCCTCGCCTGCTTGCTGGTTCTGTTGCTTCACTGCCCATCTGGGCTCCAGCTTTTGGGGGGGGGGGTTGAGGGGGGAGACACCACCTGCCTTCTCAGCAGCTGCGGCAGAGCCGGGAGCGCATATGCGAGCCGAGTCTGTCAGCCCCAGGCGGGAATCCTGGGTCTGCAACGGTACCTGTGAGGCTACGGGATGGCCCTTTTCTGAGCCTCCACTGACCGTATGCAAGCGGCACAGTAATACTTCATCACAGGGTCGTCCGGAGGATGGAAATTTAGTCGCCTAGATCTTTACGGTCACGTTGCCGATCGCTAGTCGTCAGCCTCTGGGAAGCAACACACCCATTCACACAGCAGGGTGACATCGGTTCCCCCGGAGGGTGTTAGAACGATCCGTTCCTGGGACAGTCTCTACCCCTGCCCATCTGCCTCCACCGGCCGTGACCTGCCCGGGGCTCCTGTTCTGGGCCTCCCCACGTCTTTATCCTAAACGTATTTTAGAGAAGAAAGCAGGGTAGACTGAACTTGATTAAAGCTAACGCTGACTGAAAGGGGCAGGACGAGATCCGTGAGCACTGACTGCAGCCGGGCAAACGCTCTTCAGGAGAAGCCTTCCTCCCCAGGTCCCTCCTCAGACCCCTCCCCAGGCGCCCCCCAGCGGAGGCAAAGCGTGGAGAACGCTCTCTGCTTTGCGGTGACAGGCTGCTCACGGGGCCATCTTTCCAGCCGGCCAGGCTCCTCGAGGGCTGCGGCCCAGATTCGGGCAAAACCCACCATGGGATTCAAGCTCAAATTAGACACAGATACACCAAAAACAACAGTTGGGTCAGGGACCAGGTTCACAGGTCACTTATTTTCTCTACCCAGAAGCAGTGTTTTAGTCTAAAGACTGAAGTGCGTGATTTCCCATGAGCCGCCAGGGCCACGGGGACTCACCAGAAGGTTTCTCTCCAGCTGGTTCCGCTGGACCCGAAGTGCCTCCTTCAGGCTGGCGACCTGCTTCTCGGCCTTCTTCCTTTCTGTCAAGAACTGGTTCCGCAAGAGGCTGAAGTCGGCCCTCATGGAGTCCGCCTCTTTCTGGAGAGTCAGGAGCTCACTTGACCTTTCCGTTAGTTGCTGCTCCCGTTCTGAAAGCTGTCGTTCTGAAACGAGCATTTTTGGTAGGTTAGCTGGAGGCCCTGGGCTGGCTGTGGGCAGGCGGTGTAATGACGTGTCACCCGCTCTGGCATCACTGAGTCTTCCAAGTCCCGCCCCCAACGCACATCAGAGGCCCGGATGAAGGGGCCTCCTGACATCTCTGGGTCCTGGAGGGCCGGATCCCAGAGTGACAGACAGATACTGTCTTCCCTTGGAGTGTCTGAGAGCAGTGAAGAAACAGCAGTCTGGGGGTGCAGGCGACATGGGACACGAGGCTGAAATGCTTTTTATAAGGCTGCAGGGGGTGCGCGGTGCCTCTCCTTCGCGGAAGGAGGCGCAGGGCAAGGCGCACGTGGCCTGAGTGCGAGCCCTGCCTTGTATAGGGGAGGCACCTCCTTCCTGGCCTGCGATGGGAATCGCGCAAGGGGACACCAAGTAGTAGTGAGCACTCCATATAATGTTTATGAAAAGCGCTGACATTTAAAATGGATTTTTCTAATCACGCTCTTTGGAGTAACCCTGTCCAGATTTCACTTTTTACATGTCTGGTGTGGTCAGAGGCAACACATCTGGGAAGTTTCGTCACGATGCAATGGTTGGGTCTGCATGTATCAAGAGTTGCCGGCGAAAAAGGACTAATAACCCTCTTACTGAATTCACTCGGGGAGGGTAACATTTTCTGAACATTATTAAACCCTGAATCATTTTTTGACGTGGGAACAATCATTCACCCTGAACTTCTGTCGTGATGTCACTGATAAATGGCTCAGGAGAGCGCCAGCAGCCCCTGCAACAAACACCTGTGTTTTGGTGCCATTCATGATGTCAGACTGAGACAGAAGTGGGATGTTAATACTGTTTTCTGATTGGCTGACATGAAACGCAGTGCTGTTCCCAAAGCTCAGAGCAGTGTACTACTTCACAGAAAGCCTTTAGAGTGCCTTCTGGGACCTCTCTGCCTGAAAGTCTCTTTTCCTCGAGGCAGCATTCTGGAAGAAGGCAACATGGGAAAGTAAAAAGACCTGACAGCCTCAGGGTCAAATCCCATCTCCACAGAGACAAGTGCCCAATGTCTCTGCACCTGGTGTCCTCTCACACAGGACCCCGTGGGGCATCTCCTTCCCGCCGTGCATCTCCCGATGCCCTTCCGGGACCAGGCCAGGCTCGGGGTCTCCCGGACACACTTGGCAAGACCGCCATGTTGGGGAATACGTACTGGTCTGGGAGAGCGTTTTCTCCAGGGTCTCACTCCACCTCTCCTCTTTCTTCAAAACCCTGACACGCTCCTCCGCCACCAACAGCTGTGTGAGCACCTGGTCCAGCTTGCTCTTCTGCTCCGATAATTCCTTTTCCAGCTGTTGCTGCTGCTCCTTCAGAGTCACTTTACTGGCCTCTAACTTCTTTTCTTCACATTCTGTCTCTTTCTGGAGTTTCTGAAACATCTTAACAGAGAACAACCTTAGTCATAAAATAACAAAAACAGTGTCCCCGATGAGGGAACCTGCATCAGCGCTAAATAGGTTCGAGTCCAAGAGAAAGGAGAAAACAGCCCAGAGTGACAGACAGCGGGGACTGGGAAACTATCTGGCTGGCACGTGAGGAGGGGATTCACGCAGTAAGTGGCATGTGGCCATCAAGATTCTTTACGGGAATGATGTTCTGCGGCCTTAATGGTCCACAAATATTAATGCCAAGAGAGTCAAGGCACTGGTGTGAAACCTTCCCCGGTCACACAGGGCAGTGAAGGGAAGCTAGTCCTACGCGGGACCCCTCATAGCTTCTGCCAGGAAAAAACACGCATGAGTGACAAAGTGTGTCCTTTTCTTTCACATCATAAGTGTGTAGTACCATTTCTTGTTGGGCTAGCTTCGCCCTATTTTCTTCAGCCTTCTTCTGAAGCTCTTGAAGCTGTTGTTGCTTTGTCTCCCCTTCTTTCTGGCAGTCTTCCAAATTCTTCCTCCATTCACCGACGTCTTTCTGGAGCCTGGTCTGCTCACTGAGCAGCATGTCCTTCTGCTTGGTGGCGTGAAGCAGGCCCTTGGGGTGAGAGAACAAGCGGACGCTACTAACAAAGCCATCGTTCCGGGCTGCCCAGTGCCCCACCTAGCATCAAGCAAGTATGACGAAGTGAGAAGCATCCTGGAAATCCCACGTCCTCTAACACCTCAACAAACTTATTTAAGGCCCCCAAAGTGTAACTTAATCATCAGCTTTCCTCTTTTTAGTGTCTAAAAAGTAAGACGACAGAAGATGCCGAAACCTAAGAGACCCAGTTCTTCTGAACTATAGTTGCTTTGTCACTGAGCTGGGAATAAACAACACCCGCCTCACAAGATTGCTAAGAAGATTAAGGAGAGCTGTGAATACAGCTTAATTCTTCTTGAAAATGAAGAATTTGGAACTATGACTTGGAACCTAAAGTCATAGTTTTGTTACTATTTGAAATATTTATGTGGGTTGAAAAACAAGAAAACAGTAACTTCTTTCTGCGAGGAATCCAAATTAAACATTTCTTTTAAAAATGTTTATTTTGAGGGGGAGAGAGAAAGAGAAAGAGCATGAGCAGGGGAGGGGCAGACACAGAGACGGAAAGAGAATTCTAAGGAGGCCTTGCACTGTCAGCACAGAGCCCGACATTGGGCTCGATCTCATGAACCGTGAGATCATGACCTGAGCCGAGATCAAGAGTTGGATGCTCAGCCGACTGAGCCACCCAGGTGCCCCTCAAATTAAACGTTTTTGAAAAAGCTGTATTTCTAACAACAAAGAAAATACGCATTAGAGGTTGTGTAAGAATTTTTTTAAGGATGGGATACTCTGATTTGAAGTTTTCTCCATCTTAGAAACACAGAATCCTTAAGGTAAATGGAAGAACTTGGATGTCTAATTGAACTCCTAATCTACACAGTGGAAACCGAAGCCCAGGACTTGCCTGAGGTTCTCTGAAACTTAAATGACAGCACTGTTCTCACAGGACAGCACTCAGTTACCTTTCAGAAGCCCGTCAGAAGTACACGGGGCAAGAGTCAGCTCCCCCGGACAGCCGGCAAGATGGGGCGCAGTCCCCCTGCAGCTCAATGCGTGACCGCATCTATGCCCAGCCTCTGGGGTCTTGTCTGTGCCACCGATAAGAGGGGTCCACCTGGTGCCTGGAGCCCCCAGAGGGGCTGCTGAGGACTGGGCTCTGATCTAGCTACCACCTTACTTACTACCTTTGAGTAACACTTAGAATAAATGAGAAAACCACCCACCCTGCACCAGAAGTTGTGTGTATCTGAGTTTTTGTTATATAAATGGCCCCATGGGACTGGCTGGTGTGGCAAGGGACCAACCTACCTGATTTGTCTGTTATCTGCACCAGGGGTCTGCATGCCTTCAGGACACTGCTAGAAGATCACGTTTGCTACGAAGCTTACCTGTTTGGCTAGGTTCAAATGGTCTTCGACTTCAGCTAGTTCTCTCTGTAGTGCATTTACTGCCTCTTGTTTTTCTACAGAAATAACATTTATACAAAATGAATACTTTTGTATCCATGGTCCAAATCCCCGTCGGCCCCTCAAACAAAGTGGAGGTGAACATAAACTCATCTCTATTAAATGTATGGATAAGCCCCACCATCTTATTAAAAGGTCAGAAGAGACAGTGATGTGCACAGCCTACTCTTGGGCTCGGAGCTCAGGTTTTTAAAGATTTACGTCTTCAAAACCTCACAATAAAAAAACTTTACATACACTGCCTAGTGTTGATGATGTGCAGGGCTTGAAACCGAATACCTTCTAGAATGCTGGCAGCAATGTAAATTTGATACAACCTTAAAGGGAGACAATTTGGGAATAGATTTTATATCTATACTGGCTTTGTCACTTACTAGCTGTAAGTCACTTCTTCATGTGAGTAAGTCACAAGGAAATTAAGCTTCCTCATCTATTAAGTGGGTAAGTTTCTATCTCATAAAAGTATTACCAGGTTTTAATGAAAACAATGCATATAAAATAACTGCATCATATCTAAGAGTAAGTGCTCAACAAGTACATTATTGGGGCGCCTGGGTGGCTCAGTCAGTTAAGCGTCCGACTTCAGCTCAGGTCATGATCTCACGGTTCGTGGGTTCGAGCCCCGCAATGGGCTCAGTGCTGACAGCTAGCTCACAGCCTGGAGCCTGCTTCAGATTTTGTGTCTCCCTCTCTCTCTGACCCTCCCCTGCTCACGCTGTCTCTCTCTCTCAGAAATAAACATTAAAAAATTTTTTTTAAAAAACAAAAAAAAAAAACCAAGTACGTTATTAGCTAGAATTACTTAGTAACTTCTAATCATGAATATTTACAAAGATTTGGTAATAAAGACATTAACTGCATCTTTTTTGTTTGTTTAAAACTACACACACATCCACATCCCAAGGAAAAATCTCCAAAGATATTCACCGAACTGTTAACAGGAATTCCCTCTGAGGGTGTTTATTTTGTCTTTTTACTTCTGTTTTTAAATTGTTCTTTAAGGAACACGAACTAGTTTTTTAAGTGGCTCTATTGAGACAGAATCCACATGCTGTGCTTTCACCTGTTTCAAGTATGCGATTCAGCGGCTTTAAGCATATTCGCGGAGTTGCGCAAACACCACCACAATCTAATTTTAGAACATTTTTGTCACTTCTAAAATAAACCCCATGCCAGTCAGGAGTTACTTCTAGAACGAGAAAGGCAGACAATGAACAGAAGCAGCGAGAAGCGGGAAAGAGCCGCGTCTCTCGGCCGCCTGGCCGCCTACCTCGGAGCTGCTGCTGTGTCGCCGCCACGTCTTTGTGCAGCGAGAGCTTCTCTCTGTGCAGCCGGTCCAGCTCCTGCTGCAGATTTCTGACATCCGATTCCAGCTTCTCGAAGTTGGCCTGCTCCGTTTTGCTATTCTCTTCCACAGCTGCTAAAACCCTACCGTACAAGCCAAGTCAGACAATCAAATGTAGAATGTTCAAGCATGCACAAGACACAACCGAGGAATAGCATGATGCCCCACAGTGTAGTCACGGACTATGAGTGATCCCAAATTGTAACAAGACTGAAGGCTCTTCAACTCCCTTTCAAAAGACTTCTTGTTTTTCGCTTTCCAAACAGGAGATTTTTGGAAAAGGGACTCCCTGAACTGAAGTTTTGTAAATAAACATCAGGGATAAAACCATGGAGAGCACCAAAAATCTGGCGATTAAAACAAATTGCTAGCTTCTGATCAGTGAGAAAGCAGGAAACACAATTGTGTGTGTAATAGGGTTTGTCCAAAAGACAGCCAGGCATGAGCACGCCTTCTTTTGCATAAATGAGTCCTATAGTAGAGGCTTGCTTTTGTCTGGCTTCTCCCCCTGGGCGTAGTCACTTAGAGTCATTTGTGTTGTGTGCAACGCTGCTTTCCTTTCTCACTGCTGCACAGTACTCCATGGGAGGGCTGTACTAGAATTGGTCTATGCATTCACCAGCTGAGGGGATTTTTAGGTTGTTTCCAGGTGTGGGCTGTTGCAAATAAAGCTGTCATGAACATCAATGCCTATCGTTCTTCGTATAAACATACGCTTTCACTTCTCCTGAAGAATAATCTAGGCATGGAATGGCTGGCCCTTCTGGTTAGGTGTATGTTAGTTTCCCAAATAACTGCCGAACCATTCTCCAAAGTGGCCTAACATTTTACACTCCCAGTGGATGAAAATTTCACGCGAATATCTGGTATGGTCAATGTTTAATTTTAGCCCATCTAATAGGTGTATAATGATAGCTCGTTGTGGTTTTAATTTACATTTGCTGCGGGGCCTGCATGGTGTAGTCAGTTAAGCATCTGACTTTTTAAAAATTTCTGTTTTGTTCATGTATTTATTTTGAGACAGAGAGAGAGGAAGAGCGCACTCAGGGAAGGGGCAAAGACAGAAGGAGAGCAAGCAAATCCCAAGCAGGCTCTGCACTGACAACCCAGAGCTAACGAGGGGCTCAAACTCAGTTTTATGAACTCATAAAATCAGGAGTTGGACGGTGAACCTACTGAGCCACTGAGCCATCCCCTGACTCTTGACCTCAGCTCAGGTCATGATGTCACAGTTCGTGAAGTTGAGCCTCATGTCAGGCTCTGTGCTGATAGTACGGAGCTGAGAGCTCTTTAAGATATATGTTCTGGGTACAAGTACTTTTTTTAAGAGGAGAGGATTTTTTTTTTTTTTTTTTTTTTGAGAGTGAGAAAGAGAGAGAACAAGCACGCGAGCAGGTGCGGAGAGAGAGGAAGAGAGAATTCTAAGCAGGCTCTGCACTGTTAGCGTGGAGGGCGACGCGGGGTTGGAACTCCTGAACCACGAGATCAGGACCGGAGCTGAAATCAAGAGTCGGATGCTTACCGGACTTGCAGGTGCCCTGAGTACAAGTCCTTTATCGAATACATTGTTGCAAAGGTCGTTCTCCCAGGCTGGGGCAGGTCTTTTCACCGTCTTAACAGTGTCTTTTGAGAAGATTTAAATTCGGACGAAGCCCGATTTTACAATATATTCTTTTGTGGATGATGCTTTTGGTGTCACATCTAGGAAATCCTGCCTAACCCAAGGTCACAAAGGTGTTTTCCCTGTTTTCTCCTTTAGAAGTTTTATACTTAGGAGGGCACTTTGGGGATGAGCACTGAGTGTTATGTAAAAACTAATTTGACAATAAACTATTTGTAAAAAAAAAAAAAAAAAAAAGAAGTTTTATACTTAGGTTTCACATTGATGTTCACGGTCCTTTTGGGGATAATTTCTATTTACAGCATGGGTGTGGACTGAAGTTCATTTTGGGGGGTTTGGATATACAATTAATTCAGCAACAGTTTTCAAAGTCCGTCTCTTTTCTACTGAAAACGATGCCTTTGCATCTTGGTCAAAATTGGTTGTCCACACATTTGTGCATTTGCTTTTGGACTTTCTGTTCTGTTCCATCGACTTTGTCTATCTTTCTACCAGTACTACGGTGTTTTGATCCCTGCAGATATGTGTGGGGTCCTGAAATCAGGCAATGTTAGCTCTGAACTTTTGTTCTTTTCCAAAGCTGTTTTGGTATCATATCTAAAAACTTTTAGATTCTCTTCTACATGCAACCTTTGCATTTCCTATGTATTTCAGAACCAGACTCTCAATTTCTATTTTAAGAGTATGTTGTGATTTTGACTGTTTTGAATCTAAAAATCAATTTGAGGAGAATGGAATCTTAACAATACTGTCTTTCTACCCACAAAGAGGTATCTCTCTCCATTTACTTATATCTTCCAGCATGCGTCATTTTCCTTAAACATACACACACACACACACAACAGGTCATTTTAAAAAGTTCTCTGGGGGGATAATGCCTAAAAGGAAATTCACCCAGAAATGGTACTGATGAGTTATATTGTGACACTGACTTCATGGAGTATTTTTTTTTCCTTTTTTCTATTTTCCACTCTTTTTAAAAGAGTGTGTTTATTAAGCTTTAGCATTTACGAAGAGACCTTGCAGGCTTACAGGTTTTTGCTCTCACCGTTTGGTCTGTTCCAACTTCTTTTCCCAGCTGTCACAGTTTTCTTCGAGATCTTCCTTTTCTTTGCTCAAAGACTCAACACAGGACTGTAGCGCTCGGGTCTCGGCAGTGATCCGCTCTATTTCCCGTCTGTCCCTCTCGAGGACCTGCTTCTGCCACTCGATTTCCCCTTTCTGTCGCAGGGCTGTCTGCTGCAGATTCTCTAACTCCAGTCTCTCCTAAATTGGATAAAAGGGGACTCACATGTGCCCAACGGGGAAGATGGCAGTTGGCTAAGGGCAAAACGGCTTTGTTTATTACCTCCAGCACTTAGACCTGAGTCTTCTCTAGCTCAGACACCTTTTGGTCATGTTGTAGCATCAAACCTTGCAGCTCACTGTTTTCAAGTTGCAGCATGTCCAGAATATTCTTTAGTTCTAGAGAGACAGAACATGGTCCATGCTGTTAAATGAAGTTTGGAGCGCTTACAAAATGAAACAGAATATAGTGCCATGGATACAAGAAACAAGAGGTCATCAAAACATTATCTGTTGTGTGAGTTGATGGAGCTAACTGTATTTTAATTTAAAAAAACTTTAAAAATCTTGCCAAGCATTAATTTGTTAAACTTTGTTAAAAATTTTTCAATTTTTTTAACAAAAAACATTAACAAAGATCTAGTTCTAAGAGTAAGTGCCCCATCTAAATGAATTTTAATCAAGACAAATAGGAAAAACTTCAAAATACAGAAGTTGAGATTCAGATAACAATTTTTTCTATTTTAAAATACAGATTTTTAAGTATTAACTCTTTTCTGATTATAAAAATATTTGGTCACTATAGAACATTTCAAGAAAAAAGTAAAAAGGAAAACAATGAAAACCCATCATTATCCCACCATCCAAACATGATCACTGCTGCAACAGCATCCTGATGCACCTCCTTCCAGGAGCGTGCACACACACAGACTTTCAAAATAAATTGGGACTCTGCTCTATATTCAGTTTTTATCTGTTTTTTTTCAGTCTTCCCATCAGCCCTTTTACATGCCCTTCAATGTTTAAAATATAGCTTTTAAATTGGCCATGGTTCCAAAGTTACAAATTTGTACGTGGTTATAAATTTTACCCTAAGTAACCAACTCAGCCAGCTTAATTTGTGAAGCAAGGAAACACTTACTAAATAAATAAATACAGTATTGCTGTGATGTGAATGAATGCTTGCCCTCTCTCAACAACTAGAAATGAGCGAAATGGTTTAACGGGTATGAATTTTCAGTCCTGAAACACTGAGGGATTGGCCCAGTTTCTTTTTCTATCAACAGCCTATAAGTGCTCTTCATTCTCCATACCCTAGTCGGCAACGATTATGACTATTTTGCTTTTAAGTAAACTTTATCAACTTGAAAGGCAAAAAATATCCTATTCCTTTTATCATACTGCTTTTCTTCATAACTTTAAAAGAACTTTATTTTACTTTTCGTATTTTTCCTATGATCTAGGACAGACACCTTTCCAAACTCTGACTTTGTATGACTGTTTTCCTTTAAACTTACCAGTTTTATGTTTAGACATCTGCCCTAAAACTACCTGAAGATTTTCTTCCTCTTTTTCAATTTCCTCCTTTATGAGTGCAAGCTGAGTTTTTTTTTCACTAATCTGGACATTGAGTTCTCCTTTCTGAAAACTCAGTTCTTCCAGAAGAGATTTTACTTCCTGTGCCAAAAAAAAAAAAAAAAGTCAACTCTCCTCCACAAAATTATGAATGGAAATTATGCAGAAATCAGTTTTGTTACTAACTATCTCATTTCACAAAAATTCTAATTTGGAAACAAGTTCAACTTTGCCTTTTAAGTCAGGAACAGCACTACATTTTATTTTACACAAACATATTTCTGTATAACAGAGGTAAGGAAGTCACATATCATTTTCATTTAAAATGCATAAACAGTGCAAGGCAATGTGTTGTAGAAAGAAAGGCTGACTCTGATGCATCTCCTGCCCTCAAGAGGCTGAGCACCTTGGGGGAAATCAGCAAGGAGCATAAACATGATCATGAAAGGCTCTGCTGCCCTAGGAAACGTGCAGAGTGACTCTCAACTCGGAAGAGAGAAATTCCTTCCAAGGTAAAGTCAGGAAAGTCGTCTTAATGGCATGAAGCTGCACCATGAGAAATGGCTAGGATCTGGACATTCCCAAAAAGGAAATTCCTGGAGAAGAAATGGCAGGAAAAGGCACAGAGACCGAGAACCTTGGGGATGTCTGGAACATTCTACAGGAGAGCCACTATGTGCAGCCACAGCCTGGACACAGAACAGCACATAGAACTGACATTACAGAGGGCTCACGGTTCAGGAATTTACAGTTGCATTTGGAGGGAAAACTAATTAAAAGACGTCAAGATAAACCAAGAACATCAGCCTCGGATTCTTAAGAAAACCTGGTGAAAAACACACCCTAATATGATTGCACTTCTCAGTTACTTCGGTTTCTCCCAGTCTCAGCGCCTCCTGGAGATCAGCTCTGGCCTGGACCATGCTTCCCTGAAGTAGACGCAGCTCTTCCTTTTTATGCCCCAACTCCCTGTCCAACACGGCCAGCTCCTGCTGTTGATCGGACACCTGCGATCAAAAAAAGGGAAGAAAGCAAAGCTGGACAACCTTCATGCTTGCTGTGACGGAGAATATTCAGTCCAGCTAACGGTAGTGGGGGAAATTAGGGACTAGCCTAATTGTAATTATCGCAGCTGCATGAGTCAGGAGGGCCAGGCTGGGGGTAAAGGCATCAGATGCCTAAATAAAGATCTTGAGTTCACATACATAAAAGCACTCAGATCATAGCAGAAACAACAATATGATAATAATGATTAACCCTCAGGTCATGGTTTTCAAAATACTTGCATGTCTATACCTTATTCCATTACCTTGGCAATGGAAGTCAGGTGGGATTTTTAAAATTTATTCATTTTGTAAATTTAAAAATTACAACTTTAAGGACAGTACACATGTTTTAATAAAAAAAGCAGAAAATGCAGACGTGCAAAAGGAAGGAAACAGAAAATATTCATCTCCCCTGATCAGATGACTGCTTCTGTACTTTGATATAGACCAAAAATACAAGCACGGGTGTTCATGAATACATTAAGCATAAATGATCTCAGGGTGTATCCTAGTTCTTTTTTTAATTAAAAAGAATTTTTTTAATGTTTATTTAGTTTTGAAAGAGAGACACAGAGCGTAAGCAGGGGAGGGGCAGTGAGAGAGAGACACACAGAATCCAACGCAGGCTCCAGGCTCTGAGCTGTCAGCACAGAGCTTGACGCAGGGCTCGAACCCATGAACTGTGAGATCATGACCTGAGTCAAAGTTGCATGCTCAACTGACTCTGCCACCTAGGCGCCCCAGGGTGTATCCCGTTTTGAGACTCACCTCTTTTACTCAATAATATATTCTATTTATTCTCTTGAGTTGCGATTCAAATTGGGGTTGGCCTCTACTCTTAATCACTAGGATACAGAGCCTCATTTATGCTTTATTATCTTATTTTGTATTTTCCCATCTTTTCTACAATCAAACACGTATTACTTTTTATAATCGTAGCAAAGATGCGGGTTTCAAAGCAGCATGAACTGCGCTGCCAAGGCGTCGCTTGCCGTACCTGGCTTTTCAGCCTTTCCAGCTCAGCTTTCTTGGCCTGCAGGAGGGTCTCTGACTCTTCCAGGACGTGCAGGTGGTGATCCTCACTGCGTTGTGCGGCCTCGACGTCCTTCTGCAGCTTCTGCAGCCTACGGACAGCAGCAGCACTAGCGCAGGTCCGGGGGAAGGCTGAGCCCCGAGAGCGGGCACGCAGCACACGCCCCGGGCCCTGCGGAGCCTCTACTTACTCTCCCGTCAGCACCTCCTTCTTCTTGTTCAGACACTGGAAGTCTGAGTCCTTTGCTGCAACGGCTTTGTTTATTTCTTTCAAAGTTTCTTCTTGCTCCATTTTGTGCTCCTCCAAACCCTTCGTGTCAGCCTGGAGTAACCTAAAACACACTGCTTTATTCTCCACGGGCCCTCGGCCTTAGCCTGCATTATTTATCTTCAGGCAATTATTACCCCCTTAGCGCCAAACCTTTCATTCATCTGGCGTGAGCACCGCAAAGGCTCAGAGGACGCCACCTACCGGAGCTGCTGGTCAGCCTTGACGAGGTTAACAGCAGTTTCCCGGGCTCTCCTTTCTAACTCCTCGGCATCCTTTTCGACTTGCAATAGGTTTCTCTTGGCATCTGCGAACTTCTCAACGGCATCTTTTGTCTAAAAAAGACACTGTCGTTAGAAGCAATTCAGTTATCACGCTGTCTCACAGCTCTTAGGAAAAATGACAAGGCCGCAGAGGAAGGCTGATAAAAATGTGCATGCACTTGGACTCTCCAAAAGTCTCAGGAAAGAATTCAGGAGTAAAAAATGACTCCACAAAAATGCTCACTGTGTACTGAAATACGACTTGACAAGTAATAGATTAAGTGATAACATGTCAACGCAATGGCGTACTGTGTAGCCCTTAAGATGACAGTCTAGCAACATGGAAGAATATTAATGATATTACGTTGGCTGAAAAAAACAAAGTTAAAAATGACATGCGCACTCTAAGAGCATCTATGTGAGATGAGATCTGTGCCCACAGGGGCAGAAAGGCTCTGCACAAAGAAACAGTCACTTGAGGTGGTGACACTGTGAATGCTTTTTTACGTGAAAATAATCCGTATATCATGATGCCATCCTATTCAATTAAAAATATCTCCCTAATTAAGTGACAGCAAGCTGATTTTACCAACATGCCCTCCTCACAGAGATTATTACTATACTCTGGATATGACTGTGTTAAATAAAACTTCCTTCATTTAAAGATGAACATAAGTCTGAGAAACACAAACATTAAGTACTTTTGTTGATGGACTTAAAACTCCTCCTATACAAGATTTGGCAAAAACAGATTACTTTTGTTTTTCTTTTCAAAAACAAAATTTATTTTTATCAACTTGGTTTCCTTTTTTGTCTAGAATAAGAGGTTTAAAACAATGTCACCAAAGGTCCAAAAATAGTGCTTGCTTTGCACTTGGTTGAGCAGCGACTCCCCTTCGGGCCAAATCCTCAGTCTCTGCAGCGGCACTGAAGCCCCAGGCTTGTCAGACTCAGGCACTAAATCTCCCGCGGGACCGCCAACCCCTGACAGATAGCTCACCACGCTTCCTTCCATTTCAGAGACCTGGCTTCTGCCAGTTTCAGCAGCAGAGCACTGGACAAAATGCACTATGTGCTCCAGAAAATCACATTCCTAAGTAGTTTTCTACCTCTTTCTGTGTTAGGTTTTAACACGTCTGGCATCTTCTTCACAAAATGCACCACCTTCTCCCTCGCTCTTCCTCCTTAGCAAGCTGCCCCCGAGTCATTCTGGGAGAACAAAGGGGGAAGGGCTTACTAGCTTCAGTTCAGTTACTATTTCTGCCTACTCTTGCTATCAATTTTCTTTTATGTACCAGTGATAAAGGTTTCTCTAGTCCTGCTCACGCCTATGTTCTCTCACACTTGTCTAACATGTGACAGGAGAAGGAAAATGATCAGTTGATCATCTGAAAAGACACCGGGATGTTTTCCCATTCTTACTAAAGCTGTAACTCACAGAATATCTTTAAGAAATCCTTGGTTTCAGTTCCTGGGTTATAGATTTCTATTCATTTAAGTCCACCCATGTTGAAATAACAACATAAAAATAGCATTTTCTGAGACGCTCCATGTGGGTATGGGACTTTTTTACTCTGGAATTCTCCCCTAACTAAGAAAGCTCTCTTGGCAGAGCGCCTGCCTGGCGGGCTGAGTCGGTTAAGCGTCCGACTTCAGCTCAGGTCATGATCTCATGGTTCATGGGTTTAAACCCCATGTCAGACTCTGCTGACACCTCAGAGCCTGGAGCCTGTTTCGGATTCTGTCTCCCTCTCTCTCTGCCCCTCCCCAACTCATGCTCTCTCTTTCAAAAGTAAGTAAAACCTCAAAAGGAAAGAAAGAAAGAGAGAGAGAGAGAGAGAGAAAGAAAGAGAGAAAGAAAGAAAGCTCTCTTGGTGAGGCAGATCTTTAGCTGTGTGGCCCTGGGCCAGCTACCAGCCTCTCTGAGCTACACCTTGAATTGGGCTAACTACCACCTTAGGGGTTGCCGGGAAAGGTAAATGAAGCAATATTTATAAAATAGCCAATGTGTGGGCAGAGTAGGAGCCTAATGGAGTAGGGGCTCCTTTTCCTCCTCGATCTCTTTCTGTGTTGTGGTCGCAAGAACACTCCCTCAGAGCAAAAAATACTCGATTTTCTATCGTCTACTTGGAGGACAAAGTAATACAAGGAAGAAGTCTTCTGAGATCCACTGCTGCTTTTAGATGAATATAACAGTGACCTATTTAATACCCAGAGATATCAGAGCCCAAATAATTTAAAGACATGCACAGGATAAGGAAATAGGGTGCGTTAGGAACAGAATGATTTCAGCAGCTTTCAATGTTACTTCTTTTATCTCTTCCTGAACAGCCTAGGTATTCTTTGCCTGAATTGATAGGTGAGGGGAGCAAAGCAGGGGAGTTAGGTGGCTTCCCAAACTCCCCCAGCTCCCTAACTAGGAGAGCGCAGCCTGGAACCCAACTGTCTGCCCTGGGCGACCACGTTCTTATCACATTTTCTTTCTCGTCCTTCATGCGGCCGGCGGTAAGCTGCCTCACCCCAAACCACAGCAGAACATACTTTCTCCTTCGTGCGTGAAAGTTCACTTTCGGCCTCGGCCAGCAGCCGGTCAGCTTCCCTGAGCTCTGCTCGGCGTTTTAGAAGGGTCTTCTCGATGCACTCAATTTCATCCACAATATCTTCATGGTGTTTGAGTGACTTCTCTATTTCTAGTTCGTTCATCAGACTCTCGACATTTCCATCAAGGAAGTCTCTAAAAAAATCATATACACACATATTAAGAGTCTTTAAATATAGACAATATAGACACTTGTAGCCTGATAAAAAGACTTAGTATGATCTAATCTTAAACGAGAAAGGCTGGAAAAGACATTTACATGTTTAAGGCCTATCTTTACCCTTTTATTCAACACGGTACTGTCTCCTGTTGACAGTAAGTGGACAATGTGTACAAAGTACGATGCGGTTGTTTTACCTTTTTTGATTATTAACTTTTATTTTAATTTTTATTTATTTATTTATTTAATAGTTTATCTTTTTGTCAGCAGCTGGGTCAAGACAATGCCGCTATTTCTATTCTTCTATGGTATAAAAAGAAAACAAAGCACTACCATAACAGTCATCCATCCCCTAAATCTGCCTTTCAAGTTGCAGCTCTCCAACTGCCCAAAGACTTCTGACGTTTGTGATTTACTCTGTTCTGCTCAAGGACAATTATAGTAACGATATTGGACAAATCAGAAAGCAAGACACAGAAATCACTGTCTCAAGGCTAACATGTCAAAATGATTAGAAAATGAAACTATGACAGAAAAACATGAAAATATATTCATCAACATTTAACACCTTCTTTCTCTTTAAATGAAGGCAAACATATCCTTTCTTTGGATATTTCCGTGTTATTCAAACTCCTTAAAGTAAGCATTTATTGTGCTTTTAGAGCTAGGAAAAGAAGTGGTTACCCCGCTGCCTTACCACCCTCCCCCAGAAAACCTCCCTTTGACCTCCCCCCACCGTATGCTACAAAAGTAAGAGAGGCAACTATCCTTGAAACTATCACACATTTAGTCCTCGTCTCCTCCCTGCATGGCCCTTGCTTTTCCCTGCCAGGCGTCCCAGCCAGTCACACGTGTGCTCCTAGAAGGCAGAGGCCATAGCGCACTCACCCCTGCAACCCCCACAGGTCTCCCCACAGCCCTGGCACCCGGCCAGTCCGGCTGACACGACAAAAGCTGGGAACCTGTCAGAACTCCTGGATCACTGCAGGGATGGGCTGGCTTCTACCCACCCGACCCTCTCAGCAGACGCTGCGTTCGTTACTGGACCGGACGCCAGGTGCTGGGGCACAAAGAGGGAGGCCCAGCTACCGCACGCCTGGGCTCCTTCCAACACGGTGGCAACAGTACTATGCCCAAGGTTGCCAACTCCGAACTGTGGGGACCTGGGATAAGGAAGGCTTTGTGTGAAAGGGGACCCCTGACCTTTATCTGGAAAGACAGGGTGGCGTTAGGGGGCAGGGAAACCACTTTAGGCAAGTACCGTATGTGCAAAGGTGGAGAGGCAGGGGAGAATGTGGTGCCGGGGGAACCACAGAAAGGTCGGGAGGGCCTGAACAAACACTGCGTGTGGGAGAGAAGGATAAGACAGACAGGCGGGTCCAGATCCGGAGGGCAGTGTATATTCTGACGGGACTGAGTCACACGGGAGAGTGGCTAGCTCGGATCTGCAGCTATGTCCAGGGAAGAATGGAGACAGAGCCTAGACACGGAAGGCCAAAGCAGAAGCTATTACGATGACCTGGGTGGAGATGATTAAAGGCCAGGGCAGCAGAGATGAAAGACGGGGACCAGTTTGACAGCTTCTGGTGGACAGTCGTAGGGCCCGGAGACCAGCTGGAGGTTTGGGGAAGTGAGGAAAGAGGAGCTGAGGACACCTGGCATGTTTTTAGCCGCGGAGGGCAGATGGCAGTGCACTCTCCAAGAGGGGCTACAAGAAGAGCTCAAATGGATAACTGGCCAAGAGCACCTGGACTTGCCCTGTGCAATTTGGGAGTCGCCTGTGGCTACTACTTTAATTTAAATGAAACTGTATTCCTCTGTTCCATTAGCCACACTTCAAGTGCTCAATCGGCACACGTGGCTAGTGACCACTGTTTTGGACGGCACGGATAGACACCATTTCCAAGATCACAGAAAGTTCAATAGGACAACACCAATTCACGTTACTTTAGTAAGCCAATATCATATTCATCAGAAGTATAAAAATAAAATAGCTAATAATTACTTTCGCTGTTGGTGTTTCTGGATGGTTCTATGTAATTCTTCTACTTCATGCTCTAAGTCTTTCTTCTCTTGCAAGAGACCATCAATATTACGGTGCAGCTCTTCCAATTCCTTCACCGAATGCCGCCTGGATGCTCTCATGCACCGCTCCTGTTTCTCCGATTTTAAGTGCTGCATGATGTCCTCCAGTCTAGAAACTTCATTCTCCTGAACAAAGGGAAAAAAAAAAAACAGTGCTGAGAAACATCACTTGATGTTTCTCTTCTTTTCTGCCAAAAGCTGCATTCGATTGTGCTTCGAGTGCCATCTGTGATGTGAAAATGACGGTAGCTTCTAGACTGCAGTATGAAAACGAAAAATCAAGTCAGGCCAATTTTTTCACACGCCACAGATGAAACTGACGAATGAACAGAGCTTCTAACGCTACCATCGGTCCAACTATGGTTGATACACATTCACCAAGCACCCCTATGGACAAGCTCCGCCTCCAGAGTTCGGCAAGTAGCGGAAGAGACAGACACAGGGGCCTCTCTCTAGGCACAGGGAGGGGAATCACCTGAAGGCTGCTGGAGGGAGAGAGGTTTTGCATGGGTTTTGAAGAATAAATGAAACGGGGAGGACCTCACTGAAGAAATAACAGGTGCTAATGCACGGAGGTCTCAGAGGGCATGTGAGAAATGACAGAACAGCTGGGGATGGCTGGTGGGTAACAGAACGAGCCCAAGGGGTGACGGCGGGCCAAGGCGACGGTGCTGCCCTCAGCACATGTGCACCGACACTGCGGGGCAATGGGAGTGACTAGCGTTCCAACCACGTGAGCACACACGGGCCCTCCGCAACTAGTCTGACCTAATGCTCGACACTCAAGGCTCCTAAGTCCTTGTCTTCCTCTCAACCTGCTGGGAGGAAAAGGAGAATAGAAAGAGCTCTAGGCATCTTGAGTTTGAAGGAGGAGTTTGTAATGTATTTTATTCTTTAGAACCCTGAGGTTACAAAGTAAGCTGGTGATTAGGAAGTAATCATTTCTTGAAATGCAGCCTTAGATAAGAAAATGAAATACGCTAAAATTACACAATTGAGCCAACTATACTGCTTGTAAATAGAGAAATGTTATGCAATCATTTAATACTGCTTAAAAACAGCTGTAAAACCACAGGGAAATGTCTATAACATTAAGTGGGAAAAAGAGAATATGAAACATGTATACAATAAGGTACGAATTATGAAAAGGAAATAGGAATAATCATGAATCTCACCATCCAGGGACAACCCCCACCACAACCTTGCTGTCTGCTGCTCTTTCGTGTGAATACACAAGCACATCCATGTGTATGCGTGCACAGGCCCATCTACATGCGCGCGTTAAGTACCGGCCCCACTATGTGAACACTGCTGTATGTACACATTAGTATCACACTTGTCAACAGACAAATACACAATAAGCTCTCCCAAATGGCTAATTTCTGCACTGAAAGTATTTTTGATATAAAATGGTTAAACCAAGCTTGTGGACTGGCCTGGTCCCGTAACTCCCGTCCAAGAGGATATTTTAGTAAGAGAACGCTTGCTCCATTTTAAACATCACCTTTACAAACATACTTTGGGACATCATCCCTTCATAAGAAGGTTGAATCACCACACACACAGCCTTATTCAGTCTCCCGCAGAAGCGGGGTGGACGGGGGCCTCATGTCTCTCTACTTACCAAGTTATGGTGTTCCGGGACGTTGCAATGCAGCACCCCCGCAGGGATGAGGGGGACAGAGAAGTTGGGGGGCGGAGGCCCATACACGATGGGGGCCCCAACAGGTGGTGGGCCATAAACAACAGTGCCAGGGCTGAGAGGCTGGCTATTGTGGGGCAGGGGAGGAGGCGGTGCGTACAGGGCCATGCCCTGGGGAACCGGAGAGCCGTCGGGAAACACAGTGTACATCATGTATCCAGAAGGAGGCACAAAGGGGCGGTCCTCGCGGTCATCCAGCTCGCTCTCTTCCTGGCTGTCTTCTCCACTGTCTGCATCTTGACAGAAATAAACAGAAGAGTGTTTTACCCACATGGTTTACTGGGTAAACAAGTTTAGTAGAGAACAGGAATATTTAGGATGAGACCCCGAGAAGTGGGAGTAAAATTCTGTGAAAAAGTTCAAAAGCAATTTTGAAAAGGTCAAAACAGGGATTCGTATCATTTTCAGAGGCTGATAATTGAGTTTTTCTTATGCCTATTGTAGAGTTGCTTTTTTCTGTCTTTATTCATTCATTTATTTGGCAATCATTTGGGTGTCTGCCTCAGGCTGCATAAAGTCAGAGATGCGGAGATGTGTGCTGAGACACCACGGCTCGCAGGGTCTACGGCTGCCATCACACGGCACTCTCCAAGGTGCTGGTTTCCTTCCTTGGGTCTACGTGCGCCCATCACTGATGACAGACGACCTAGCACACAGCAGGCACTCAATAAGTAGCTCCTGAATAAACAAATTACCAGAAGAGGACATTCCCATTTTGTGGCTTCACAGCCTCAGAGAAGCTAAATAATTTGCCTAGGATCACACAGCTGCTTAGCGAAAGAGCAAGAATTCACCCCAAGTCTGACTCTTCCTCCTGGAGCTTTTGAAGATGGACCTAGAACGTTTCATTTTAGTCGAGCTAATCAATGTCAGGCCACCAGGAAGTAGGCACCTGTCACGCTCCAGGAGCACAAGTGTAGACGCTGCTCAGTCGGCCTGGGTAAGGCAACATGGAGGATGGTCCCTGAAGTAGTGTGGTTTGAGGGCCTGAGTCTTGTGGAAGGTTGAACACGAGTAGGTGTGGGAGAAAAGGAAGAAGGACATTCTAAACAGAGGGCTTAAAACACGGAGGTCAGAGGAATGTGGCATGCTGTGACTATCTCAGGCAACTGGGTAGGACTCACGTGCAGAACAGAGACGGGAAGGGAAACTAGAGGTCACTGGCCAAAGTCGCAGCAAAGGCGAAGCTAAGGAGTGTGGGCTCTGTCTTACGGATTTCAGAGAACCATAAAAGAAATGCAAGTACCCTTGGGCGACTTAACTTACCTCTATTTGAAAACGACTGATGTAACCCACTCCTGATGGGAGAATAAACCCAGTGTCCTGAGACACGTGGAGGCCCGCTCTCCTCCTTTCCGTCCTGCCGTCCGCGACGTGCTTTTCTAACGGGAGTTGAGGCTGTGTACTTTAGGCCGACCCCAGAGTCCTTGGTGGCCTGAGAACTATAGCTGGAAACCTGAAATAAATCACAGCAGGGCCCGCTATTATAAATGAAAGGGCTGAGCTGGAGAAATGCCAAAGTCTAGAACAAAGTTGAGATGTAGCAAAGTTGAGAACAAAGTGGTTTCTTTCCACAGATCATAATTCTCATTTTTCACAGACAGAAGTGAGACACGATTATAGTCAGGTAAACTGCCTGAATGTCAGCCTCTGGTCTCCAGTACTTCTCTTTCCTGGTGGCTTCTCCTCTTTGGCCTCGTCCTTGATGGCCCACCAATGAAGGCAAAGGAAACCAGTGAATTTTCAAGGCCGTCTGGGAGATCAATCTCCTACTATCCTGGGAGCCTGGTGTGGCTGAAAAGCTCTGCTCTGCTAACTCTCTCTCCTTCACAGTCATAAATAGGTCTACCTTTTGAACCTTCCCCCAGGTCAGCCTTACAATGTTACAATGTCAAATCTATACAGCCTGCACATCTAGCCCTGCCTGGCTGTCAAGGAAGTTTAGATGTAGACTCTGGTTGAGTCTACAAAGCCTGGGATCCTAGTGTGCCACAGCCACTTCCCCCTGACTATTGCCTGTCAGCTGGTCATAGCAGGATGTCACCCAGCCCCTCTGCTCTGGATCCAGGCTGCTTACCATCCTCTCCTCATGTCTCACGTTCAAGTCCCATGCCCTGGCCATTTTGTCTCCTGAACAGCCCCTCAGTGATACCTCTTCTCCTCCAGCTCCATTGCTCTAGCCCTGGCTTCGGTCCCTCACAGAATGAGTTTAAACAGCACCCTGCTACCCCCTCCTCGAGTTCACCCACTGCAAGTCAGGCCTCCACACTCAACCCAGTTATTCTCCCGAAACTATAGCTCTAATCACGTTATACACATCCTCAATCCCCGAGGCCTCCACAAGTCAGTGCAACAGATTTTGAGGTCCTATGTAAAAAGCATGAACCCAATCTACTTTTCTGGACTCACCTCTCACCGTTCCCAGCCAATCCCCCAGCCCCACAAGGCTACTCACCATGGCTACACCAACTCTCTCCTTCCACACGTGTCTTCCCTCCTAAAAGCCCATCCCTTGACGGCTAAGTGCTAACTTCATGACTTTGTGTGAAGCCTTCCTTCCTGAACTTCCCCAGTGTGAGGAATCCCTAACACTTCTCCGCAACAGAGCACACAAGTCAAGTCTGTTGTCACATGCATGCCACTGTTTCTAACTGCCCCGGTGTCCCTGTCTCCCCACCACTGCATGAGCCTTTGAGAGCAAGGGCTAGCCCATTCCTCATGGCACCCCACTCCACCAGCACCTGACCTAGATTTCAGTAAACATAGAATGAAATGCTGATTAAAATCAAATGAAAGCCAGGTGCCCAGTTTTCTCTCAGCCTCTGCATAGTTCTATACCCATTTCCAACAGGCTCTCTGGGCTCAAGTCACCTTATCCCCTTGCAGGATCTTCTATCAGGGACCCACAGCATACCACCAGAGCACCAATGGGCAATGGCAATATTCCTCGAGAAGGTCCTATTTTCATCTCATGTACCAAACGCACTTAAGAACCTCAATGCGTGGCTTAGTCTAGACATACTGTTCTTGACACCTGTCCACAAACTGGGGGAAGAGAACAGGGTCACACTTCCTTCAAGAAAATTCAGTATACGCTCCCAGCCTCACAGGCTTCCTACTTTTGATGATGACGGTGTTGGCATAAAGTACCAGTAGCCTCGTCTTCTGAAAGGATCTGCCATGCTGCTGATGTAATCATTCTGATGAGACACTTCACGTCGAAGTTCAGCAATTTCTTCCAAAACATTGTCAAAGCTTCCTCTGTTATCTGCAAAGGAAAGCCATTCTGTGAAGTTGGGCGTGAAATCATCTACTTCCCTCCTCTCAACATACACAAGTGATTCCGTGACAGACAATGACTTCGATCGGCTCCGCTCCTCAAAGCTGACTTTTCAGGCTGTCCGGTGGTAATAACTTTTTGCTAACACTTAAGGAAGCTAGACGTACCCTTCTGTTGTTCATTTATAAAGGGAGGCAGAGAAAGAAAACAAGCAGATTTGGAAACATTATTTCTTTTGAAACTTCAAAATCTCTTGTCTCACTGTAATCAAGTTCCTGTAATACATCACTTACATAAAATGTTTAAATTCTTTGCTTTTATTCATTAAGCTAATTATCACAGCTCTGGAAATCAAGCATGGAATTGATCTATCACAGCTAAATAAATCTGCTCAAGTGAAAGACAAACAAGATTTTTTTTTAAAGATGATTTGACATTAGAATAACTACAAAACCACTACCAAAATCAAAGCCCTGGGGCCCCTGGGTGGCTCAGTCGGCTAAGTGTTCAGCTTCAGCTCAGGTCCTGATCTCGTGGTTCAGTTTGTGAGCTCAAGCTGTCAGTGCAGTGTCAGGATCTCTGCTGTCAGTGCAGAGCCTCCTTGGGATCCTCTGTCCCCCTCTCTCTCTTCCCCTCCCCCATTCACACTCTCTCTTTCAAAAATAAATGTTTTTAATTAAAAAAAATAAAAATCAAAGCCCAGTACTTTACCAGCCCCGGTGAGGTCTAGTAAATTCCGCAGCCTTGTGATCTCTGTCCTTTGCCTCTCCATTGTCTCATTGAGTTTCTCGACCTCCAGCACCTGTGAGTTTGCTCCTCCGGGGCCTACATTTACTTTCTCCATTCCAAGTCGAAACTATTAAAAAATCACATACACAAAACTGCCAATGAATATTCTTTCCCATATGAGCCTTGCAATTTGATATAGTAATTCCAGAACTTTAGCCTGTACTTTACTAAAGAGGAAAACACATTGCTCCTTGTATTTAAATTATACTCTGCCTGACACGCAGTAGAGGACAAAGTGCTGATCGACCACTGACTACATTTCCTAATGGAGGGGTCACCTCCAACAATTTTATCTTTCGGGAGCCAAGAGAGGACCAATAAGGAGAAGGTCTCAGGGTACCGGCACTGACCTGCTCCTCTCTATCTTTGAGAAGGTTCTGCAGGAGTTCAATCTCGGCTTCTGCTCGGGTCAGATCCCTGGCCGCCTGCGCTGCCTTCCTGCTGAACTTCTCCGTCTCCTGCACCTCCTGCGGGGACAGAGTACGAGAAAGGCAGCACGGCCATCACATGGTGTCATCTTCATTCCTTTCTTACCCACAGACTGACTCCTCTATTTTCATCCGCCTGCCTGCCTGGCCACCCTCTGCGTGCATGGCGCCTGGTCCCACCTCCTCCTGTGCTGTCCCCATCACCTGACAGCCTGCTCCACCCCTCTCTGGGAGCCACGGGAGCAGGGGGCTGCATCCGAAAGAGCAAGGGCTCTTTCTTCACTGCTCTACAGACTTCCATGACCGAGGTCTCCCTGGACTCTCATTATTCCATTTTCTCTACAAGCTATCACCCTAATCTCACGAGCACGTGTGCCCTTTAAAACTGTTATGGATACCATCTCAGTCAGGAGGCAAAACAGTGCTCTGGTCACATATTCTCTGCCGGCACAAGACGAAAAGTCCAGGGTTCAGAAGGCTTCTGTGACAAGCCTTTAAAACCTCCGTTCAGGTGTGTATGGCCAGCTACCTCCCTAGCAGTGCTCTACGCTTGGAGGTGGGGAGAGTACGTTTTATTTGATGGCTCTCATTAGGGCTCAGAAGAGCATAGGGCTGTGACTGGAGAAATACAATCTTCAGTCTGAAGGGGAACAGACAACTTCACAGTGGTTTATGAACTAGCCAGAGCCTGTCATGGCAGAGCAGTGATACAAGTGGCTATGGTCTGGGGACAGCAGCTGCGGCGCTGGAAACTTGCTTTGCACACATGGGCTCACCTCTGCTCGCTCCTGGTTAATTTTCAGAACAGTTCCATGAAGGGACCTGAGCTGATCTTTGGCAATGGTGAGCTCAGCCGCAGCCAGCTTATCGGAGGCAGCCACGGCTTTCTTCAATTTCTTCAATTCTCGATCTAAGCCGAGAAGCTGCTCCTGGGATTTGGCATCTTCAAGCTTCTTCTAAAGGGAAAGAAACATTAAACAGATGAGTCATTTGGTAGCGACGAATTAAGACCTAAGCCCCAGGAAGGTAGGGACTCCATTCGCTGCTGCCAGGTCTGTGCCTAGAACAATACACGGGACAGGGGCGCTGGGCAGCTCGGTCGGTTGAGTGTTTGACTCTTGATTTTGGCTCAGGTTTGATCTCACTAAAGTTCGTAGGATCGAGCCCAGCACTGGGATTCCATCAGTGTGGAGCCTGCCTGGGATTCTCTCTCCCTCTCTCTGCCCCTCCCTGGCTTGTTCTCTCTCTCTCAAAAATAAATAAACTTAAAAAAAAATAATACATGGTACATTGTATGGTAAATCAGAATGAAATCAGTCTTCTTAGTCAAGAACCTTAGTGATCATAGGGGCGCCTGGGTGGCTCAGTCCTTTGAGCGTCCAACTTCAGCTCATGTCATGATTTCATGGTTCGTGGAGTTGGAACCCTGCATCGAGCTCTGTGCTGACAGCTAGTTCAGAGCCTAGAGTCTGCTTCAGATTCTGTGTCTCCCTCTCTCTCTCTGCCCCTCACCTGCTCACACTCTGTCTCTCTCTCAAAAATAAATATTTTAAAAAAAAAAAAACAAAACAACTTTACAAAAGGACCTCAGTGATCAGATTCATTCATTCATTGGAAAAACATTTCCCAGCACTGTCACCAAGTGAGAGACCAGTCCTCGTGGTCACGGAGTCAGGCCTGGGCATACAGTGGTAGGTGAAACAGACTGCTCTCAAGGAGCTTATGAGAGATGGACTTTAAACAAATACTCAAATATATGACCAAGATGGTCAGTGCTATCAAGGGACAGAACAGAGTACTACTGAGACAGAGGGAGAGACCTGAATTGGTAGGGAGGGGGCAGTCAGAGAGGGTGGAGGAACGTGGTCCAGGAGAGGCAATGGCATGTGGGAAGGTCAGGAGGACTGAGCATTTTTGAGGAACTGAAAGAAGGAGCATGGTGATAACAGGAAGGAGCTAAACAGAGGCAAACCGTGCTGGGCCTCACAGGCTCAAGGGTTTGGGTGTTTTTTATAAAAACAACAGAAGTTACTGAGGAAAGGGGAAATGAGGGGGACTGACAGCCAATTCATGTTTTTTGTTTTTTAAAGTTTACTTATTTATTTTGGGGGAGGGAGGAGCAGACAGAGAATCCCAAGGAAGCTCCGCACTGTCTCAATCGACTGAGACACACAGGTGCCCCATAATTCATGTTTTTAAGGAGCATGTTGGCCGCTCTGTGGAGCAAGGTCATCAGTGGGAGTCTTAGCAGAACTGTCTGGTGGCCACACCAGTTGTCCTGATGAGAGGTAATGGCCGGATGGGGGTGGTGGCGGAGATGAAAAAAAGGACCTATATTCCAGATATATTTTGGGGGTGGACTGAACAGGACTTGGGAACGGAAAGGTTCTCAGTGAAGTATGAAGCACGTCATATGCTGGGAGAGTATGAGGCTGGGAGAAGGGAGAAGGTAGGCGTGGCAGTGACAAGCCATGAACGGTGTGGCGTGAGAGAGTGAACTTCCCAGAGAGAAGGGGAAAGCTGCCCACTTGAGGCTGACAAGCAGGAGAGGACAGTGACACCACTACGCCTGGTGGCTGATATTTTTCTGCAGGAATGCGTAGCATGGGTACCTGCCTATAGACAGCTCACGGCTGCGGTATCGTTAGGTAAGTGAGATGGGAGACAAGGACAAGGGATTTGAGGACTTTTGCAAAAATGGCTATAGTGGTGGAGCATGGAATTTAAGTTGGACGGCCAGGTGTGTGGCCAGGAAAGCCTAACAGACAGAAAAGGTGGGCTCAGGCCCTGGAACTGTGAAGGAAGCTGAGAAACTATCAGTGTGGGGGCGCAGCAGGACAGACAGAGCGGGGTGCTGCAGTTCGGGACGGCAGAGGGGGTGGGCGCAACTTCTCAACTGGACAAGGCTGGCCATGTGACCATGGGAGGAGCTGGCTGAGGGGGGATGGAGAAGCTCAAAGAGGGGCCAGGCTGTTAGGAAGATGAGGAGTTAAAAAGTAATTTCCCGTGGATGGGTCCAATCATGCAAGGGGTTTCTGAGGAGGCAAACTCCTGCCAGTGACACCTAAGTGTCTAAAGTCACTCCTCACATGCCACCACCGTGTCTCAGGGCCTTGATTTGACCACAATGCATCCCAGGCTCCCTTGGGTCCAGAGCCAGCAGTGCTGTCGGAGGCAACCGTGGGCCATGCTCCATGCAGCAGGCCAGCTCCCCGAGGGGCAGGGTCCAGGCACAGGGACACGGATGGCACACTTTCCTAGTCTTCCCCACCTTTTTCTCTAACTCCTGGAGTTGGGCCAGAATTCTCTCCTTCTCTTCATCAGCTTCCTGAAGTTGGAGATCTGTAAGGCCTTGGATTTCCTCCATACTTTTCAGATTTTCTTGCAAATAGCGAATTTCATTCTCCAGCTGTTGGATTCTCGCTTCGTGCTGCCTCTTATCAAAACTAATCTGTGAGGAAATCAAGTTTCGAAGATGATTTATAAGCAGAATATAAACTTCTTAGAGAATTACGTTTTGTTTTGTAGGATAGTGTAATGACATTTTGTACTAATGAGTTATAGGGGGCAGCTGTATCTTGAACGTTCTCTAGGATCCATGTTAATGTTTGCCTCATCATGAAAATAATTACATTTGAAAAATTAGATTCTGGCATCACACTGCGCCCTAGCAATATGGTATTGTTTACCTACAGGCTCAGAAACATTTCTCACTTGCTTCCAGAACAAGGAACGCACAGCCACAAGAAGCCTGACTGACATCAGTAACCATACTCAAGGCTGACTTAGTCGCAGGCAGTCTGAGAGTGAAAATAACAGTAATCATTCTGTATTTACGTGAGAAAGGAAGCACTATAATTTGCTGAAGAACAGGCCTATTGGCCAAACACTTCCCTGCAGCTGCCCCCGGCCCCTTCTTACTCTTGCTTCCAGGGCTCTCTCGCAGGCGTGCCTGAACTCCTCCTGTCCATTTGCCAGTTTCTCTTGTTGCAGAGCCATTTCCTCCTGGAGTTTTCTCTCTCTCACTTGTGCTTCCTGTCTTTCCCACTGGGAGCGTGCCAGGATTTCACTGAACTGTTTCTGCAAATCAGCAAGACTTTTCCCTAAGACGTCTGAAGGGGTATGGATTCTGGTAAGGGGGGAAAAAAGATGGAATGTGACCTCTTCTTTCTCATGCCAGACACCGGATGCACACTGTGCTGGTCACATCGGCGCAGGGCTAAAAAGAGTTGCGTGGAACGGCGACCAGCGTCAGCGCAGACCAACTCAGCATCTCCTAAGTGCAAACCCGCCTTTTATCCAGTGCCTGCTGTCGCTCCAAAAACACAGGCTCCTAGCGGGCTAATAACGTTTGCTCATATAGTAAATGTCCCTTTCATATATTTAAATGTGCCTTGGTTTTCTTCTGAAATTTATTTTCTATTTAAAATGTATAATGTGGCTCTACTTCATGACCACATGCAATGAACTTTCAAGAAAGAGTTACTCTTAAAACTTCTGTGTCAATTAAATAATACCTAAAAGCATGAAAGATTTAAAATGTAAAAAAATCAGTGACAGGCAATTTGGATGAAGCGATCCTGTGTCTCAATCATGGAAATATGACTTGGGAAGCCTCACAAAAGAAATTCAGCCATTGGCGTAACTTAGGAAGGTGAGTCCGTATGAACCTCATGTTCATAAGTCGGCAATCTCAATACCAGGAGGTCCTGATTGCCCATTACCTCATTTCCCCGGCTCCTGACTTCAGTTTTTGCCTTAGCTCATCCACACGAGCTGCCACGTCTTCTGGACGAATCAAACCATCAACCACATGGTTAAGGTGATTCTGGAAATCTTTAAGTTGCTGTTTTAACAGGTCATTGTCATCCTATGGATGGTGGTATAACAGGGAGGGAAAAGTTACTAAAACAAATTAAAATACACACACATAGCCATACACAGCCTGTATTACTTATCATATGATTAGTTCTTTTCAAGTCCCTTTACCAATTTTTTTAAAAACCCTTTCCACTTGGGCTGCCAATATCTGAATCTACTGATCAATCTAAAGTCACAAAAGACAGGACCAGGCATTAGGATGTTTCCTGATGTGATACAAAAACAAGTACCTATGTTCTTGCTGAGAAGTAACTAAGCTGAATTTAAATAAGCCTCGGTATGTAACACAAGAACATGTTGATCAATACCATAAAGGATGCAACCACTAAAATCTAGAATGGGAAACTCCACAGGACAAAGATCTGGTTTTCTTTATTTTTTTATTTTAAAATTTTTTTAAATCTTTATTTATTTTTGAGAGAGAGAGCAAGGGAGGGGCAGAAAGAGAGGGAGACACAGAATCTGAAGCAGTTTCCAGGCTCTGAGCTGTCAGCACAGAGCCCGACACAGGGCTTAAACCCACGGACTACGAGATCATGACCTGAGCCGAAGTCACACACTTAACCGACTGAGCCACCCAGGGGCCCCTGGTTTAGTTTAAAACATAAAGGGGGAAAGAAGAAGGACACCTATAGACTACAAGAGACTTAAGAACCACGTCAACAAAATGCAATGGGTGCACTTTATTTGGATCCTTATTCCAACAAACATTGTAAAAACTGAGATAATTTGTAAATTTAAATATGATAAGGTATTTGATGTTAGGAAATTATTATAATTTTAAGATATAAAGTAGCATCTGTGTGTGTGTTTTTTTAAGTCTCTGTACAGTATTTACAGATAAAGTAAGAGTTTTGGATTTACTCCAGAATAATTCAATGCGTGAACGAGTGTGAGGGCTGAGCTATGGCAGGAATTACGGACGGAGTAAAACTGGTCACGGGTTGGTAAGTATTGAAGATATGTAATATGCATATGAGGATCCATTTTAGGATTCTACTTATGTATGTGTTGGAAATGTCCATAATTCAAAGTTAAAAAACAAATCCAAAAAAAAAAACCCTAACAACTTTCCCATACTACTCTGCCAAGCAACTAAAAAATGAAGCCTCTAATACTGAAGCTTCTCTAACAGCTTATAATTCTCTGTGAGAGTTTCTGTTACATGCCAGCATATTTTCACTATTAACAAACAAACACGCAGATCCAAGAATTAAATTCACACAATGCCCCTTTCAAGTACAAGAAAACTGCTAAAATCAACCTAAACTGTAAAGAAAAATAGACTATATCCCCTGAAGTGATTTACTTCAAACTCAGTGAAACACTCTTAACTAAAGTAGAGAATTCAGAATTGCAACGAACATGTTAACTGCCTGTCCCCTCTGGAGCCTGTTATCTATAAACTGTACTGAACATTGCCCTGAGTGCCCATATTACCATTACTGTCTAATCCCGGCCACAGGTGATCAGACCCAAGGCCAAACAATCCATCGACTGGCCAGGAAACAGGTTCTCTCTCCAAAATTTGAACTAAGATCCAGAACATCGTCACATCTCTAAGAGCTGGCCTCGTAAAGATAGGTCAGCCCAGGGCTGAAGTCCGTGCTAGGCCAAATACAATACCCACAGAGACAGTGGAGAAATGAGAGAGCCATGTAGCTCCTGAAAGACTGATAGAGCAGCTCTGTCTCCTGCCTTGAGCTAGTGTTAGTAGGTTCTGGTTCACTGCAACTAAAATGACTGTCTGACAAACACAAATGCAGAGTGAATTCAAGGTGAATTCTGTATCACAAGGTTAGTAGGCCAAGGACCTAGTTTCAACTAAGGTAGTCTCACAGCATGGGCTAGTGTTCTAGAAAGCTGACTTTGGTTACTAAGTTGGAGGAGAAGGCCCCCGAAGAAGACATTTTAGTCCCTTTCTTTAAGAGATGTACGCTGAAGTGACATGTATGCTGAAGTAACATGTATGCTGAAGTATTTGGGTGAAATAAAGATGTAGGAGATTTTCTTCTGAAGAATTCCAGCCAAAAAAAAAAAAAAGAGTGAACTGAAACCAGAATGGGAGAATGCTGACTACTGTTTAAGCAGGGTAAACAAAAGGATCTAAGACTATTTTGTTTTCGTGATTTGAAATTCCCATAGTAAATATACAAACATGATCTACTGAGCAGCCAACAGACACACAACTCAAACAAGAATGGAAAACCATACATCTTTTCTGATACCTGTTTCAGAAATTAAACTGTGAGCAGTAAAAATTAAATTCTAGGTGATTACATTTCCCTAAACTTTGAGGAAAAAATATTCCAGGCATTGGGAGAAGGGAGAGAATTTGGGTGAGCTGTTTAGCTTTATTTGTCACAGATAAGGTGTCCTTAAACCCTTAGCAACCCTGCGCCTTTATTTCTGGTGAAGTATGACACATGCCCTCTCAGTCGGCCAAGTGGCCCTCGGCCTCACAGATCTGGAGATCTGAGTGTTGATCCAGGTACTTGTTTATTCAGACATCTGTGTTCTCAGAGAGTTTAATTATCTGGAAAATCCTGTCCACCTGCTTCTCCGGCAGTCTGTTAGGCAGATTGTTGTGACAGTAGCAGTAAAGACACTCTGCCAAAGCCAACCCCCACACACGTAAAATGACTGCATTTCTAATAGAACCCTTTCTAAGAAAGGGATTGTGAAGGCTGTGTACAGTAGGGAGTTCTGCATCCCACTCTGGTTAAATTCCTGGCTAATTACAAAGATATTTTAGGGGAAGAAGAATGCACCAAAATCTGATCCTTTTAGCTCAGTCTGGTGACAAATCTGCCTGTCAGAGAAATGCAAGGTATTGCTTTCACCAGTGAGTGCACACAGGACTGGCTGTTTACTCTTGCCACTGCCTGTGTCTCTTCACACCGCCACAACAACACAAAGGATGTGCATATTCCTAACTGTACAACGACAGGGTCACGAGGGGACAGAGGCCATGATACCGTCCCACCCAGAGTTCTTCTCTTCTAATGATCCAAGTAACCTACAACATGTTGGCGCAGGTTAAGTGTCTGACTACAGACGGCAACACCTCAGGGTGTCCTACGTGAGAAATCACCCTGAACAAACACGCCTCTACCTGCAGCTGCTTAAGTTGTGTGCGGAGTTCACTGTTTTCTTGGTCCTTTCCTTCTGCGAGCTGGGCTTTTCTGAGGGCATTCTGGAGGGCTTGCTTTTCCTTCTCAAGGTCTGCTTGAAGGGCTGATTGTTCTAACTATTGCCGTGGGAAGCACATGATATGAAAACATAAAACAACAACTTTTTTTAATCTAAAAAGTCATAAATAAGTTTATATACACACACAATTCCTTGCTAGCTATAGTTTCAGAATAACTCCATTTTATGTCTATATGCTCAGATCTCAGAGCTCAGGTTAATCTTTTTCACACATCTCCTTCAACTACTAACACTTAAGAGGAGATACCACAATGGGCTCAGCCCAAATATACCAACTAGAGTCTCAGTGGGGGGTGTAGGTGAGGGGGGGGTGTCCCAAGTATCTACCTTTAAGAGTCGTGTGAATGATTTACAGAGCTACTGCTCTTCTTTCCCTCGACCAGTATTTCTCAAACTGTGGTCCTCACCTCACTTGGTGTGCCTGTGAAAAGTGCAGATGCCCAGACTACATCTCAGACTCAGTGGGCCAGAAGCTTGAGGACGGGGCCCAGGAATCTGCATTTAACAAGCGTCACAGTGACTTCACAGAGCTAAAGTATACCAATTAGAGATCTGTGGATCAGAGACAGACAGCTATGCTCCCTACTCTCAATATATGGCTTTAAGACCAATCCTGGCAGTGCTGATGCCAAGAAGGGGAGAGTCCCTTTCAATAACCAGTAAAGCTGTGAAAAGGCTAGGCTGCTATAATACTTTGTCAAGACTCATGAGGGGGAAAAAAAGGACAATGGAAATACAAAGGACAATAGATTTTAAGCTAGTAAAGGGTGGCTTGAAAACTTGAGAGAATTTTTTATTTGAAATGAGAGGCCATCTAGAAATTTTATTTACTATTATTTAGAAATCCGTATTTATTCTGTTATTTTAATTGTTTTCCCCCAACTTCCTATTTTTCACTCTGATCTTATCAACTGTCATTTCGTAAACCTTGGTACTCTTGAGAAATATAATCTTGACAATTGTCAAGTGGTCATTTCATATCTGATAAGTAAAGGGATACAAATTAACATAATTACTATAATAAGCATGACCTATTTGTAGGTCCTTTTCTAATCACACGAATGTTATTTTACATACATTCCAGGGGTTTAAACTATCTTATTTTATGTCACTTTCATCCAATAAGTGCATACTGAGAAAAGAAGAAGAAGCATATACATTCTGGGTATTCGCTGTCCTCTGGGTCTAGCAGGAGAGAGGGACAGTCTGAACAGATATCATCATACACATGATAAAATGCTTTAGCTGAGCACAGGCTATAGGAAAACCAAAGTAGGATCCTGAACCCAGATTTCCAGCAGGCACAAGAGAACAGTCGAGATGGGCCTCCCGGAGACAGACGCAGCCTGTGGGACTAACAGCTGAATGAAATGACATTTTTAATCTGATTAAGAATACACTGTAACTGGCCCCTGTCTGCCTCTCTGCCTTGATCTCTCACCTTCCTGCCTACTCTCCTACTCTTCTTCTTGCTTCTGGCACACAAGAGCCATACTTTCAGCACTTCAAATGCACCATGCTCCCTCTCCTTGCCTCTGCCTAGAACATTCGTCCCTTACCCCTTCCCTTTGCACCCCCGCTTGCTCTGCACACCAAAATCCAACTCACCTTTTCAGTCTCTGTGGAAACATTTCTCTAGGGCAGACTTTCCTGACCACCCCTCCCCTGCTACAGAACGCCATCCCCTTCTTTCGCCCACATTCATGTCCCCTACTGCACTGTCAGCTCCACGGGGACAGCGACTATGTCGGTGCTGGTCACTGCGGCACCTACAGCACCTGGCCCTCAAAGCCCAATCGGCAAGTGGTTCTTGGATGAATAATTACTTCTCTAATTTGCAAGTACAATCTAAACTAGTGGACACTTCGTCCAACCAAAATAGAAAGCAACAAAATAAAATACAGCACTAACTTAAAGGAGGTCTCTTATCCCTGTTTTGAGAAAGAAACACTAGAATTTATTGACTACCAACTGCTAGGTGCTCTCATGCCCACTATTTCCCGTATCCTCACAGTAGCCCATTTTATAGACAAGGAGGCATTTTTCAGGGGCTTAAGAGCTATGACATGATTTGCATGCTCACACAGGGGCTCACAGAGGTAGTATCTGAACTCAGACTATCTGACTCCAAAAATGTATACTCTTCCCATCATTCCACATACAGTATATTAAAAAGTCTTTAATCTTACATTTAATTAAAGAAAGGCAGGTATGCTAAGGCCACAGGGCTTAGATTCTAGATGGCTTTATGCTGCTACTTACCTGGCTGAACCTTCTAAGTTTTTCCAATTCCTCCTTGAGCTGGCTGGCTTCAGCATCCCGTATTCTCAGCTGAGTCTCCAGCTCAGCCTCATAGGCACTGAGATCTCCCTGGGTCTGCTGCAGGGACACATTCACCTCATGCTGCTCCTGGAGGGCACTCTCCAGTTCTGCGAGCTCCTGTAAGGATTCGGTATGTTTATGGAACCTTCTCTGTTCTGCCTAAGCATCTGGGAAAGTCATCGTAAGTAACCTGAGCACTGTGCACCAAATGGCCAGCAAATGCCGGCCTAGCACAGAAAGTGCCATTAACAATGCAATGAAGCCGCAGGCTGCGCACATCCAGGCTGGAAAACAAAGTCCCGACTAAATGTAATCAGAAAAATCAGTAAGCTACCAGCATGTTTTCCAAAGTAACCATCTGCGTGATACTTTAACTGTGCCTGAACACGTAAGGAGAGAGGAGGATAAAACATTAGGCCTGTTCTTCATCAGACACTGGAATAAATGCTTTCACGTTTATTCTTCTGCTGACTTTTCATAGTGACTGTGTAAGGCACGGCATTATCCCCATTCTACAGAAGAGGATACAATGAACATGTAAATAAACTGCATAGGGCTGTGTAGTTAACAAGACAGGATATGAACCCAGATCTCTGACTCCAAAGCCCACACCTTTTTCTAATAAACCACAGCACGTTCACTTATTAGAAGAATAAAATGGGACTAGCACTAATATTAAGAATGACAAAGTAACCTGAACGAGTACTGACAAGAACAGAAGTACACATTGGTTGGCATACCACAGTTCTGATTCATTTTAGCCCATCTGCTTTTTATGATTAAACATTACAGCTTTCATCTATTTATTTGAAATCTTGAAGAATTAGATCAAATGATTCTGGATTAAAGAGGAGGCTCTTGTGGTGAGAGCTTCCACAGAAGAGTTTCTCAGGGGGAGGTCTGAATTATTTGGATTGCTTGTTCAAAATGCAAACTCCATGTATATCTAACAAAGGCCCAGAATATTTAAAGAATTCCTACAAATCATTAAGAAAAAGACAGATAATCCAGTAGAAAAAAAATGGACAAGAGGAAATCTGAATAGCAAATTAACAAATGGAAGGTGCCCAGTATACAAGGGAAAATTCAGTTAAGACAAGATGCTAGTTTATTTAGAGCACAGAGGAACAAGTTAAACAAGCCATGAGAAAACAGTAGACAAATTCAGAATGTGGGACACTATGGGACCACTGGCCTGGTCTCTACACACGCATTTACACACACAGCTGTAAAAGACATTCTTGGTACAACTGGGAAATTCTGAATATGGTTCAGATATTAGGTGATATTAGGGAATTACTGTTAATTTCTCCTGGTGTAATACCAATAATAATGGTATTAGAGTGATGTAAGAAAATGTCCTGATTTTTAAGACATATGTACTTAAGGGATGATGGCATGATGTTTGCAACTTTCAAATAACTCAGGGGAGAAAACAAAACAAAGACAGCAGAATATTTTTTGAATCTGGGAGAGCATACAGATATTTGCTGAACTACTCTTCAGCTATCCTTATAAATGTAAAATTTTCATAATAAAAAGATGCCACGTCAAATTCAGCAGACTGGCAAACACTGACACTGACAAAATGTTAAATTTCTTGAATGTGATAATTATTCTCTTAGATATTCTACATCAGAAAATGTCCCCAGTCCTAGGAAATGCGTGATGAGATATTTAGAAGCTAAGGAGGATGAGGTCTACAACTAATTCTCAAATGGCTAGAAAAAAATTTATATAAAAATATGCAAAAATTACACGGGAGAAAAAGAGAAAGTGGATGTAGCAAAAAATTAATTGAGGACTCTGAAAGAGGGGTACAGTGAGCTATTTGGATTAATTCCTACAATTCTCTTGCAAATTTAAAATGATTTCAAAACAAAAGCTTAAAAAATAAAAGTTGAACAACACTATGGTGTTAGCAAAGTGTGGTATAGTGATGGCCCTCACATTGCTGGTTGGAGTAGAAACTCACTGAATCATTAGGGACGGTAGTTTGTCGACATCTAATGAGGCTGAGCAATCTCCAAATGAATGGCAACAAGCCAGGTAGAGAAGGGTAGTGCTTATAACACTGTCTCTTGTTTTGTAAATAGTTAAAATTATAAACAACAAGAAAATTATGTTGTGCTTAATTTTGCTGCACAAAATAACAAGCACTTAGTATAGCAAATGTAACAGCTACTATTTCGCATTTTTTAGAGTTACTGGATAACAACACCCTTCAGGGACAGAAATTCAGCTAAAATAATCTTCCTTTTCTTAGTAAAGGAAAAATAATGATTCCAAGTGTGTCACAAAAACCCACTAAATAGCCATTGAGACTTTTTGTCACTTTGAAAATTTTTTTTAATGTTTCATTTATTTCTGAGAGAGAGGGACAGCGTGAACAGGGGAGGGTCAGAGAGAGGGGGAGATACAGACTCCGGAATAGACTCCAGGCTCTGAGCTGGCAGTCAGCATAGAGCCCGACGGGGGGCTCGAACCCACGAACCGTGAGATCATGACCTGAGCCGAAGTTGGACGCTTAACCGACTGAGCCACCCAGGTGCCCCAGAATTTTTGTCACTTCAAATTGCACAGCTGCTAACCTCCTTAGCGACCTTAATTTGGACATCAACTACTTCTGAGGCTCAGGAAACAGGCGAAAAGAAACAAATCCTACCTTCCTCATATTCTCTGCATCTATGGCAACTATTTCCAGTTGGTCCCTCTCCTGCTCAACCTCGTGCAATCTCTGTAGCAATGTCTCTTTCTCATCCTGTAGCTTCCTGCACTCCTTCTGGGCCTGGGTTGCCTGGCCTTTGACAGTCTCCAGGTATTCCTGTAACCCACTGATGACGCTTTCTAAGTCCTTCTTTAGGGCTTCATTCGCTGCTATTTGTCCTAAGCAAAATGGAAAAAGGGAAAGTGATAATGTATATAAGAAAATGATTTCAAGATACGTAATTACAGCCTTTAGTCTCTTTAGTTATTTGTTACTCGCTAACAATGAAATTGTAAGCTTTCAATTACGGTGTACTATCCTATTTTTTTCTTTTTCCAGATATAATGATAGTTTTCCCCTCTGTCATCCACAGTACAGGACTATTAAGTAGCTATACAATAAAAACAGTATATTCAGTGGGCACTGCTTATAAAATGCTCAATTCAGGATACAAAAAGTTAAAAATAATGTAAATAAACTTTTCCAAATAAAAGAATGAAAAATGGGCAGCAACATTCTGAGTTCTTGCTGCTAGATACACAAAACCACTCAACATATAAGACTAATCCAAGACCGGCAGCATACACATGTAACTTGAAGATTTACAAAAACAAACAAAAAAAAAAAAACAAAAACAAAAAAATCACCAACCAAATCATATATACTGGCTGCTTACTATGTGCCAGGCACTTTATGAACGCTACCTAGTTTAATCTTGCCAACAACTAATGACTGAGACAGAAATAACTTGTCCCAGGTCACACAGCTGCTAATGGCAAAATGGGGATTGGGATCGTTTTACACCATCCTAGGCTCTCACCACTACAACCTATATTATCTTCCTTTCCCACCATTATGGCAAAGACACAATCTCAATCTGCATTGCAAATGTGGGTCCTAAATTCTTCCCATACTCTTCTTATAACTAGTCACTGAGTGGCCTGGTGTCAATGGGCTCTTTGTTCCTGGAAGGATTATAAACTTTGGAAGACAACGACATGCTAGAGCTTACAATGATTATACACTGACTTCCAGCCTACTGAATGCAATGACCTGACTCGCTAGGAATCAATACAACAAAACTAAAATTGAACAATTTTTTTTAGTTTGATGAAACATTTTTGGGCATTCTGCAAATATTTCCCTATCAAACACTAGGTTGAATAGCTGAGGCATATTCAGCTAATATCAGGATTAATGCCTGCTGGGTGTCACTTGTCTTTTATTAATACTGGAACTGATTCACCTTAAATCGTACTTAAATTCTCACCTTCAGTAAGCTGTTGTTCAAGGTCCTTAATCTCTTCAGTTTCTTTGGCAATTCTAGAAAGTATCTCATCCAAACGGCTTTCAAGTTGTTTGTACTGCTTGTTCATGACGTCAAGTTGTTGTTCTTTACCTCTTTTCTGAGCCTTCATATGGCACTGAGTTGGAAAAAAAAAAATCAACAAAGTCATGAGTTCCTTATGCTCTTTAAAAAATTAATAATAATGCTTACCATTCCTAAAGGCAGAATGGAAAATAAAATGTAATAATTTGAGTCTGTTTGTGTCAGGCCTTGTGCTGCCTTCACACAAGTGGTTTTCATTTAAACCTCATGATAACTTGATCTAGAATTCACCTCCATTTTACAGATATGCAAATTGAAAATCAAGGAGGTTAAATGATTTTTCCAAGGGTACACCCACAAGGTAATGTGGCCAAGCTCAGTGTTCTTTGCAATGCATTAAAAACCAATTAAAATTGGTTTCCAAAAAGTTAACTGATTTTTATACTGATATCCATAGAAAATGATTGATTCCAAAATGTTAACAAGAATTATATCTGGATGGAAGGATTACAGATTTTTTTCTTTTCGTATGAAGATTTTCGGTATTAAACATTTTAAAATAGACAATACCTTCTTAATCAGAAAAGCACATTAAACATATTTTTTAAAAAAGGTTTCTGAGGGAGAAACAGAGACATGGAAGAAATATTACTGAGAATTCAAGTTTATTTCTGATTCCTTAGACAAAAAACCACTTGATTTTTAGGGTCAATAACCTGGGAGCTGAGACCTCCACCATCCAGCCCAGTAGCTCTCAAGATGGAGGGCCATTCAGAGGCACACTCCTCTACCAAGACAGAAGCCCCTGGTGGAAAACAGAGCCTTCCCCTATTCACACGGCCACTCACACGCAGACAGCCACCACTCACCCTGACAGCCACCACATTAGCCACCCTACTGTCAACTGAACACTGGATTGTACTTCCAGGTGAGCTCAGGGGGGAAAAAACCACAAACAACTGAGAATCAATGTCTGGTTTAACCCTTCCTTTTACAGGTGAAAATGAAATCTCAGATCTACCAGCAACTTGCTCAGGTCTCCTTAGAGGCAACTGTTCCAGCGGAGACAAAATAATTCTCCAGAGAACCTCTGCCCTGACTCACACCCTCAGGGCTCCAGTTTGCCCCCAAAGGATCAGAGGAGCAGAACAATAAACCAAGAGAACGTTATCAGGAGAAAGAAGAGTATCACAGTCAGAACAATCAACTCCAAGGCTCTCACGTCTAATACCCAGTTGATTATAAAAGAATGTTTATCAATTTTAGATGCCTGCTGCCACCAAAGCCGAGAAAGAAAAGCCTCTTCCTTTTTTAAGGAACAAGTGAATGGCAGAAGCCTAGCCAGAAGGTTTTTGTTTTACTATTATAAACTTGATGGGATTTTCAAAACTTTTCCTTCTCTGCCCTCCTGATACCCATCTGAAATCTTTCTGGTAAGGTTAAGTGCAGATAACAGCTTAAATTCTAAGTAAATTCAGATTTTTTTATGGCTCAAGAAAGAATTAAAACAAAGACAAAAAACTCCTGTATTCATGTCTCTATCAATAAACCTTTAAAATTCACCATTAAAAATTCCACTGAAATCTCTTTACACGCAAGATCCAAAATAAAAGGCTCAATATGCCAATGATTTGCATTAAACACATGGGAGCCAAAGTAGATTGTGCGATTTTCACAACTGTGGCGCTCACAAAAGAGTTATAAAAACAGGAACTTACATCTCTGACTCCTCCTCCTTTCAAGGCTTTTGCACAGAGAGAGAAAAAAAGGATCATACCTTAACTTAACATTTGTCCTGTTAAAACTGAGCCGTTGAGAACAGGGAAACTGTGGGCGGAACACTTTCTAAAGCTGTTTTCAAATTCACGTGCACTTCCCTCTCTGACAGTCACATTTTTGTCAGCGGCTCCGAGCCTCTGGAACTTCTCAAGGCTTCAAACCACATTCTTGGCGGAGAGTGAGCGGCAGCCCAGCCCGCCCAATCACGAGCAGCCTCTGCGGGCAGGCCCCACCCTCCGTGCTTTAAATCACAACACAGGAAGCTCCCGAGGGCCAATCACGCACAACCTTTGCAACAGATTACTACAGGCTAATTCCCCACAGACACCAGTCAGTTACCTTTTGCTTCCACAGGGCACGGCCAGGTAGGGAAGAACAAGAGAAATCTTCCTTTATTATGTTTGCTGCTGCCGGTGTTTTGTGCCTCTAGCTGTGTACATTGTTTTTTAGTAGCTTAAATGGGGTCTGACTTTTAAATAGTACTTTTTCCTTTTGCTTATGTTTGTTGAAAACGTGACTACGTTTGGCTCTCAGCTAATTATAAAAATAATCTCTGTACACCTTTAATTCCTTTGTGGGGAAACTGACATTGTAGTAGCATAGCATGGGCTCAACCTCTTCCTAAAAAGGTGAATTTAGGAAATCATTTTATCTTTTAAAATCACATTTTCATCTTATGCAAATTTTTAAAAAATGTCCTCAACCATATGGATGCTGTAAAGAAGTTCCTCACCAGTATATGCAAAAACCCCCAGCATAATGGAAGATATCATTCTCACTTAATATATTTGTTTTCCATCATATCTCAGAGTCACATTCTGTTTTCTAATCTCTCAAAAGCTTTTACTTTTAAATTCGACTTGCTATTTAGAAAGATACTCTCTCTGCTTAGATAATAAAACTTCAGTGGATAAAAGTCTATCCACACCTATAGAAAAGTATGCTGGGATCCCACTCCTGATTCCTTCCTTCTTGCTAAAATGTTTCTATTTGTAGAATGTGAGGCCTAACAGGGGCCTAAACCTAGCCTAGAAGGTGACTTTGTGCAAATTCAAAAAAAACTCTCCTTCTGGGTGAACAAATTAAGAGACATCCTCTGGTGCTTTGACCAAATAACCTTAAAAACTAAGTAGCTTTAACAATACCAAAAAGGAACCTTAAATCAGGTTGGTATGTTTCATCTCCACTAGAAGAGACTGATTTTGACTACGTTCAAAATGGAGATGCCATTCCTGCCTCTCACTTAAGTCCTTTCTCTATGTAATTCTTTACAGAAATCCAGAAAGGATTAGACTCCCTGTCTGCGAAGATTATAAAAGTCATTTGATAAAAACAAACATATAGTCTAGGTTCTAATTAGACTCATAGATCACATATCTGGATGGAGGGGGCAGCAAAAGAACTTTGGGCAGTGCCTTTGGGCTGGTTCCTTCCTACCTTCCTGCATGCAAACATCCATAAACATAGGGCTGGCCCCTGGGGATAGAATTCCTGTCCCTTACCTGGGGAGGCAGTCTTCCAAACAAATTGATGCAACAAAGATATTATTGACCAAGGGCACCTGGGTGGCTCAGCTGGGTGGGCATCTGACTCTTGATTTGGGCTCAGGTCATGATCTCGCAGTTCATGGGTTCATGCTCCAAGTTAGGCTTTGTGCTGCCAGTGAAGAGACTGCTTTGGATCCTCTCCCCTCCTACCACACCCCCCTCCACTTTCTCTCTCTCTCAAAAATAAATAAACTTAAAATATATATTATTTACCATATGATGTATTACTTGAAAATCTCCAATTTTTTCACATAATAAAAATTCTTTAAGTCCTCTTTTAGTTTCAACTTTAATAGTCAATCTTAAGCTTTTATTAGAAAACATCTCATATCTGTGAGTGATAATGTTACCTCTTCTTAAAATTAGCTGGCCTGCAAAAAAACTTATCTATGATATTTTATTAAAATGTTTAAAGGGATAATTAAATAACTTCACAAATACTGAAAATAATTATTGTGTGTTGTCCTTACTGGGTTAAATTCTATGATTTCTCTTAATCCAGAGATTTTAAAGTTCCTTTAAAATGTAACATTATTATTCAAAGTATGCAGGAATCTTTTTTACTTTTATGTTTACCAATATTGGGTAAAATGTAAGCTATTACTAAACCTTCTCAGAGGCAGAGACAGCCTAACTCCATCATGCAGCCACCTGGCCACCTACGCCACTTAGGAGGACACACTCTAGAAAAATGTTTCCTTTGTAAGGAAGAAACAAAACAATACGAAACAAACAGCTTTAGCAGAATATTTACATAAAGGACTAAAGAAGAGGTAGAAAAAGGACTTAACCCTTTTCAGCTCTCCCATCTCACTGCCTTGTTCTTAAGAAAATAAGGCAAGAAAAGAGAAAGGGTAAAGGTGTGGACAGCACCTTGGAGCAAGTTTCTCTTGATTTGAAATATAATGAAATTCACTTAAAAAATAAGTGTACCATGCATCTATCATTCTATTAAAAGCTATCTCCTTCAAGCCTTAAGTTACACAGAGATGGATGGTGTGTGTACACACACACACACACACACACACACATTATGTACACACACAAAGATATAAAATACACAACCAGATATAGGACAGACACATGCATCCATAAACATATATCACCAAATCTGTGCATAAAAACTAAAAGACTTTCAGAAAGAACTCTGCGACTAACATGAGGAGACATAATTTCTAGATGGAATGATATTCTAGTCTCCATAGAACAAGCCAAAATCTCTTCATTTGCTTACATGTTTTGGGTCTCTGGAATCCAGGCTATCAATGGCTATTTGCAGGTCCTTGATCTCGTTCTGCTTTTCAGCATTTTCTTGCCTTTGCTTTTCCATCTGTGTTTCAAGATCCACAACTTCTTGGCGTAATTTATTGAGAAGTTGTATCCTACTACCCAACTGCTTGAAAAGAAGATCTTTCTCTGCTTCTGAAATCTAATCCCCCACACACCCCAAAACAGAATTAACACAGGACAGCAACAGTGACTTACAAATTTAAAGACGATAATTTCTAAAATTCTAAAAGGTATTCTGTGCTCTACCAGTTATTTTTTTTAAATAAAAGTAAAACGTAAAAGTCATCTAGGCATTCCATTCATCTTACACTGTTATGCTTGTTACAGGAGGAAAATCTCACTTTATAAAAGTTTATGAAAACTCAATTTAATAGCAGGTAAAAATGAAGCTGTCATTCAGTATAAGCAACTTGTAAATTATTAACAATAATAACCATAACTAATGGTAGTTGACTTTATATAGCACTCACTTTGTTATTAGCATGTCAACTAAGTTAATAATGTAATGAAAAATTTAGGCTTATATGTACTCATTTAAAATAATTTTTTTCAAGCACATTTTGTAAGCATCCATGTATTTAAAAATTATATACATTATATACATCTATCAATCTATTTATATAAACTTTGCCCAACATTATTATAAAACATTCTTTTTTCATCATTAAAATCCTCCTTGATGGCTCCCTTCACCTCAGGCCCCACACTCAACCCATTCTGAAGCCTGATCAGTTCACTGCCACATTCTGCTGACAATCAGTGTGCATTCTCTCCGCACCCACCATCCACCTTCCCAGTCCAAACCATCAGCATCTCACTAAACAGCCCCGAGACATGGGCCCATCCCCATTCTTTCCATCTCCCTCACCCCATTTCACTCATGCAGTAACCAGAGTGACCTTATAAAAATACAAATAGGATCAGCCATTCTAACTTCCTAAAGTCTTTCCAAAGCTTCCCATTCCATTCATTCAGAATAAAATCCAAACCCTTAACAACAGCCTGTGTAAACTGACATAATCTTTACCCTCATCTTCCACCACACTCTCCTTCACTCTGCAGAGCAATCTCTAGTATCAGGGTCTTTGCTCACACTCTCACTTCTGCCTGGAACACCTGATCCCCTAACTGCCTCGCTGCCTCCTTGTCATCCTTTGGGTTTCAACCTAAATGTCACCTTCTCAGGGAGGCCTTTGTGGTCTCCACAATCTAAATTGTATCTTTTTTACTGCCTCTCTTAACTTTGTTTTTTTACTACAGCACGTTGTTTAACTCTACTATTTCCTTTTTTTTTTTTTTCCTACTTGTTCATTACCTATTTCCTATGCATGTGGGAGGGAAACATACCCGTTTTATTCATCACTCTGGGCCCAGCCCAGACAGGGACTAGCATATAGTAAGCCTCCAATAAACTTGAATCAATTTCTAGTTACTATGTAACTTTAAAATCACAGTAGTGTATCTTTTAAAAGAATCTACAATTTGGACTTCACATTCTTGCTTTACCTACTATGGTATGAATGCAGTTACCATCATAATTTTGAAATATTGCTTTTTAAAAAGTTGCAAATAACTGAAAATTTTTTGAAAAACTGCCAAAATACTTCCTTTCTAATTTCTCCCTATGCCATTACGTCATACGTTTGAGCTTCTGACTTTTTCATGACACACTGTCTGAGAGTGTATCACTTCTAACTTTTTGTTCACCATATTTTATATCATTTACATTTTTGGTGCTTGTATTTGATAATGTTCATGTATAGTAGGGATGTCTTCTGACTCTTAAGCTAGGTCCCAGAATCTTAAAGGTGGGCAGTGCTTCATCAAGTTACAACAGATCTAACAGGAAACAGCAATTCCCTGAGTACGTGGTTATGAAGGGAAAAACACACTTAATTTTTTACATTTCCTCTTGCATTGCTACTTTGCTTTTACATACTTTTTTAAGCTGTATTGCTTCTTCCAGTTGTTTAAATTCCTCTGTAGCTCTTAAAATTTGTTGTTCTGCCTTTTCTATTTCACCATGTAGTTCTGATAGTCGAGTTTGTGCTGCAAATTGAAAAACCATGTACACAGACATGCAAGAAAAATCTTGATTTCTCAAATTTCTATGAGATTTTTTTTACTTAACAATACCACCGCCTCCCAATTAAATTCTGTCATTATAGATACAGAAGTTTTAAAAAAATAATTTCTTACAACAGTTTTCCTCTCAGTCTCTAGTTTCATGAAAGGCTACAGGACTATAATTGATAATTTGTAAAATCCTTAACATAAAAGGGACTTTACTTATGTTCAATACTAAACTCTTCTGAGAGAATAAGGATTTTATTGGTGGATACGCACTTCTATGTCACTAAGTTATAATTAGGTTCAAGCTGTAACAAAAACCCTGTGTTTGAGGTAATTACTTTATGATAGGGCTCAAAATCAAGAAATTCACCACTGAACACTCTTCCAGCTGGGGGTGATCTCCAATCAATTGCTCGCTACCTCAAATTTCTAATTTCTGGGCCACCTGGGTGGCTCAGTTGGTTAAGCGTCTGACTTCGCCTCAGGTCACGATTTCACGGTTTGTGGGTTCGAGCCCGGCATCAGGCTCTGTGCTGACAGCTAGCTCAGGGCCTGGAGCCTGTTTCAGATTCTGTGTCTCCCTCTTGCTCTGACCCTCCCCGATCATATGCTAGCTCTCTTTCTCTCTCTCAGAAATAAATAAAACATTAAAAAAAATTTTTTTTAATTCTAATTTCTTTCTCCCTCCCTCCCTATAAAACTGCCTCCTATAAAACCACGAGCCCCTTGAAGCTAGTCTACACAAATATCTGATTTATTTCTGCTTCCCTCATCCAGAACTTTACATAGAGTGCATGAGATGGATATCTCAGGTCTCTTTTCTCCCCTCTCCACGTCAGCTTCTCTACTGGCCTTCCATGTTTTCTACTTCGCTACCTACCAAGAAAGATGAGCTACTCTGCTGGATTGTGAAGAGCCTCACAACGGACCAAAATTACTAAGGGAATGCATAAACTCAGCTCTTCTTTCTGCCTCCGTATCCATGAAGTTCGCTGGGTAAGTGGAGTTTTCCACTGGCAGGGTCTTTGGATTGACTTCTTCTTTGTGACTTGCCAGGAAGTGGCAAGATCCTTTCAATCAGATGTTTTGGGACAGGTTGGTAAAAGTCAGAAGCTGGTCTTAGGCCCAAGCCTGAGGAGGGTGCACTGATCCAGCTTATCCAAAGTACTGTTTAGGTTTTGGCTCCATGCATAGTAATCAGTTCAGTGTACTTGTTACAATTATGACCAATTAGCCTTTGAATGTACAGCTCCAATGGTGAGAAGGACCTGCTGGCGGGTCAAGATTTAAGCATTCTTGGGGCGCCTGGGTGGCTCAGTCAATTAAGACTCCGACTTCAGCTCAGGTCATGATCTCATGGTTCATGAGTTCAAGCCCCGCATCAGGGTCTGTGCTGACAGCTCAGAGCCTGGAGCCTGCTTTGGATTCTGTGTCTCCCTCTCTCTCAGCCCCTGCCCCACTCATGCTCTGTCTCTCTCTCTCACACACACACAAAAGTAAATGAACATTTAAAATTACAAAAAAAAAAAGATTTAAGCATTTTTGGATCCCCTGGACATATTGCCATCAAACGTAATAGGAATCATTAAAAAATAATTTGTTCAATGAATTACTACTTTTGTTTTAGGCTTTTCATGTAAACAACACTATAATAAATACCTTCAGCATGATTACTTAAAAGAATTCTAGAACAAAATTCGCCTATATATATATATCTCCAATCTTTTTACATTTTTAAAGAATTTAAAATTTTTGCTAACCTGCACTTATTTTTTTTTCTTTGTCTTCCAGTTGTATGTCCAGTGGCACATGTGCTCTCAAGTTCACGCACTCATCTCTGAGTTGTTCCCCTTCATCTGGCTCCACCTTGGTGATCTTTATGGTCTGGGCATTTGGAACAATGTAACTCTCTGTAGTGAACATATTTCTCTTGTATCTGGATTTGCCAATGTAAGGACTTTCATCTGGGGTTTTATCAATTTCAACATACTAAAAGCAAAATAAGTAAAGATTTATGGTTTAATAAGTAACTTCTAAGCAGCCAGGTGAAAAATATATACCATTTTATTTTATCTTACTCTTAACATACCAAAAAAGAATGAGACCAAAAAATGGTCTCAAAGTGTTCCTCTTCCTATCCCCAAAGAGTGGGTTTAGCTTGGCTGATTAAAGAACTACCTACAGTTAAGTAGGTAGATTAGCACTGCTTAATCTCTCAAATCAGAAATTTCAATGTTTTATTTTGGTTTCTTAGCTGTTATGTAAGTAAAATCCCACCTAATAAGTGGTAATAATTGAATTTTTTACAAAATAATATATGATATTGGTTGGAATCACAGATTCCCTTGGGAGCTTTTTACCTCTTTTGGAGGCTGCCTTAGCTTACTGAACCAAAAAATTCACTTATTCAAGCAAAATACGTTTACTCTGCTGATACCCTCAAAACAAGAAAGTGGAATGGTTACTGATAAAGTCCTTTGAACAGTTCTTTCTACCATCTGCCTTCCCGACTCCACTCCGTGCTGACGTTAACTCTGGATTGCTAAAAAGTTTCACTCACCTCTGATGGATAATAATTTAGCGGCTCAAATTTGGCATCAATTTTATAAAAGGCCAATTCCTGTTCCATCTCATACTGTTTTTGACATGCTCGCATTAGTTCCATGGTCTTCTGTTTTAGCTATTGGCCCAATTTGGTATGAAACAACAGGGTAAGTTAGTATAAAGGTATGATGGTATGGCAAGTTCTAATCGTAACTAATACTTAGATTGTTTTAAACCCCACAGCAAATAGCAGAACATTCACAGCATTTTATTTTCATTCTAAAGGATTATAAAGAATGCAATATAAAACTATCATTTCATAAGAGATCACATAAAAGACCTTTGAAGTTTATATGCTATTTCAGGATATAATGAATAATAAAGATTTAAAGCTCATTTAAATGTGCTTTCTCCAAACACAAAAATAATTCTGTATCAATTATTTTAAAGTAATCTATTAAGTACCTGCTTCCTGATTTTCCAATAAAAAGTTAACAATAATTTATTTAACTTACTCTGTAATTTTAATGATAGCTTCAAATTATGGATGGAAATGATATTTGGGACTAATTACAAAGGAGTCACAAGAAGGAGTGAGAAGGACGAAAGTAAGAGATTGGTTTTAATTATTGTACTATTGTTGCTGTAGTATCTCAGTTTTCTGAATATAATTCTTTGTAATAGAGGATAAAGGATGTAAATAATGCCAATCAGATCCCAATATGTAATATTACATTTTTAATTAATTCTCCTATAACATTTTACTTATTCTTAGAAATTTTTAGAGCTAGAAGAAAAGAGATCATCCAATTTAATTATCTGAAATATAAATAAAGAAATTGAGTCCGAGATCGGTGAACTGACTTGTCCAAAGTTACATATTAGATTAGTGGCAGATTTGCTAAATATTTTATTAACTACCACTATGAGCCCCCTTTCTACTTAACCAATCCGGTGAGTTCATTTCAAAGGTCCGCTAAGTGATTTTTGCCTTTTTTTTTTTTTGACAGTGTCTGATAGAAGTTCCCAGACAAAAACATGCAGAAAAACTTCTTTAATATAAAAATGCAAGCTAAAGAGAATAAAACATAAACAGACATGAACATTTTACAAGGCCCAGGAAATCAAAGTCGTGCAAGATTTAGCTTACAGTCATCTCCTGATTATCCATCAAAATAGAAGTAAGGCTAACTGGGATAACAGGTCATCTTGATCGAGTACTCACTGTATCCAAGACACTGTGCTAAGCCTTCTTTACGTGTGCTGTCACACTGAATCTTCACAACTACCCTATGAGAAGATAAGAGCTGCACCAGGAGGTTAGAGAAATTGCCCAATGGCACAACTTGTCATGGAAGAGGCAGAGTTCAATTCCAAGTCTCCTGGATTTCAAATCCAACACTCTTGTCTGCTGCTACAGGGTGCCCAGCTCCTTACCCACACTGATGCTCTCACTGAATGCTCTTAAGTCCCTGAATCTCAAGAAAGCATCCCACAACTAACAGCGTCAGCTCATCTTGGGCTTCTCTTCCCAAAGACCATTGACAGTATGGCCCAAACAAAGGCAACTGTGATGGGATCCATGGACAATGCAGGGACTTGTCTTTGCAGGCAAATAACACATACTCTGTGCATTTTAAAATTACCTTTGATAGAGTTAGGTTTAGCATTTAGTAAGCATTCAATAAATGGCTACTGAAGAAATACATAAATGAGAGCAAATCAGGAGTCTAAGGACCTGGAAAGTAAGGCTAGTCACGGTACTCGCTGTGGATAACCAAGAGCTGACTGCAGTTAACATATTTACCAATAAGAAAAATGATACAACCTCTTTCCTTCACGTTCAAATTCACAGTCCTATATACACATCCATTAAAAAAAAATTACGTATACACACACACAAGCACATTTCTTGAGAAGGCAAGCCAGATTCAAAACTTAAAATGTACATAAGCATATTAATACAAGGTATCATGCAAACCATGGAAAACAGTGTGCAATTCATCCCTGAAGTAACTACCTTTAAGGAGGAATAAAGAATCGGCAGAAAATGCTCTGCAAGAAACCAAGACAAGGGCTAAAAAGAGAAAAAAGCAAACAGAGACCATCACCTGGAGAACTGCCAAGAGTTAAGCTGTAGGAATAGAAGCTGCTCGTTACTGAAAACTTACCTTAGGAAGATAATGTTATTAGAACCTGCACCGTTCTTATAGGTACACATTTTATCATCATTTTATGTTACAGTTTTACCACCTTCCATTACTTACTAATTCAACTCAAATTATTTTCACACTTATTACCTTACTTCATCCTCACAACTCTGTGAGGCTGGCAGGACTTGTAAAAAGACAAAGAGTAATATTAACATTAAAGTTAATTAAAGTTAATATTTGTTGGTGGCAGGAGAGGAGGAAGACTATTATAGTTTAAATGGCACCAGAAGTTTAACTTCATTGTCACTACATTTCTTTCTTTTTTTTTTTTTTTTTTTTTTTTTAGTGTTTTAGTTATTTCTGAGAGAGAAAGAGAGAGAGAGACAGCGTGAACAGGGTGGGGGGGGGGGGCAGAAAGAGAGGGAGATACAGAATCCGTAACAGACTCCAGGCTCTGAGCTAGCTGTCAGCACAGAGCCCGATGCGGGGCTCAAACCCACAAACCGTGAGATCATGACCTGAGCCGAAGTCTGACGCTTAACCGACTGAGCCACCCAGGCACCCCTGTCACTACATTTCTTTTATAGGTTAATTGACCTACTACCTGAAGAATTACTTCATGAAACTGGAAAGCATTATACAACTGGAGAAAATATTATCACCAGATATTCTGCAGAAGGTAATGGAAAGTGTTTTTCAAAAGTAGGCTCTTAGAATAAGATCCAGAATTATTTTTGTAACATAGTCTAGTCTTCTAGCATAATGAAAGAACAGGCAAAACAGTATGAATTTAAAGAATTTAAAGAAGAAATACAAGATAGCCAATAAACACATATGCAATACTCAACTCTCCAACAACTAAACAAAAGTGAAATTAAAGCAATGAGATTCTGCTTTTTTCCTATCCTATTTACAAGTTCAAAATAACAGTATCAAGTGGGGAATTTGGACTATTTCACTCCATGCTGGAGAAGTATAAAGCTGGTATAAGCTTTTAATATTTACTAAAACTTAACATGCAAATTACACAGTAATTCCATTTATGATTCCTTTTAATTTTTTAAAATGTATTTCTGAGAGAAAGAGAGAGAGAGAGCAGGGGAGGGTCAGAGAAAGAGGGAGACACAGAATCTGAAGCGGGCTCCAGGCTCTGAGCTCACTGTCAGCACAGAGCCCGACGCAGGGCTCGAACCCACAAACAGTGAGATCATGACCTGAGCCGAAGTTGGATGCTTAACCGACTAAGCCACCCAGGTGCCCCTAATTTTTTTAATTGTAGAAAGAGAGAGAGAATGAGTGTGGAAGATGGGCAAAGGGAAAAAATAGAGAGACTCTTAGGCAAGCTCTGAGGGAGCCCAATGCTGTGCTTGATCCCATCACCCTGGGATCGTGATCTGAACCAAAATCAAGAGTCAGATGTTCAACCAACTGAGACACCTAGGTGTTCCTAAACTTTTTCTTGAACTCATAACCCTGAGACTGAGAGTCACATGCTCTACCAACAGAGCCAGCCAGGTGCCCCAACTTGTGATTTATACTAAGGAATTACTATTCTGAATGCATAGGTATATATACACATAGATATTTCTCTGTAGTATTGTTTCTTTTTTTCTGCAGTATTGTTTCTAGTAAAAAGTGGAAGCAATCTAAATATTCATCAATAAGAGTAGGTTAAATAAATTATGGAGTACCCATATAATGGAACACAATACATACTTTGAAAAAAAAATAGAGATTTGTGTTATGTGTATATGCACATGTGGGTATGTTTCTTAACCTGAAGAGCTATGATATATATACTGTTTTGTAAAGAATAGATGCAAAATTAAAACTATAGTTTCTTATCACAAACTATTTAGGGATACACATATTTAATTACATATATATTACATAACATTTTATAAGCACAGAAAACAAAAAGAATGCATATTAACATCCAGGAGATAGGGAAGAGAAAGAGTGAAACCCTCATTTTCTACTGTATACACTGTGTTGTCAAAATTCGTTATGATAAATATAAAATAACTTTGTATGTAAATATGTTTTTAAATGGTTAATGGAAAAAATAACATAATGACATAAAGAAGAACAATATCTTCTAGCCAAAAATTTAGTGAAAAAAAAGCCCAGCAAGAGCTGATGACAAATAACAAAACATTTATTCACAGCATAAACATAAAAAAGATCAGTAACTCAGGAAAATTTATTAAATGTTCATAAATATCGAGTCATACTATAGTAAGTACTGTTTTTTATATTTGTATTTTACTTTTTTAAAGTTTCATTTATTATTTATTTTTAAGTAGGCCACATGCCCCACATGGGGCTTGAACTCATGAACTCAAGATCAAGAGTCATACGCTCTACTGACTGAGCCAGCCAGGTGCTCCTATATTTGTCTTTTGCTTTTAAGTTTATTTATTTATTTTGAGAAAGGGAGAGAGAATGCATGACCACCTGCCAATGGGGGCGTGGAAGAGAAATGGGGAGAGAGAATCCCAAGCAGGCTTCTTGCTGTCAGCACAGAGCATAACGCATAGAGCATAACCCAGGGCTTGAACTCACGAACTGTGAGATCATGAAATCAAGAGTCAGACACAATTGACTGAGCCACCCAGGTGCCTCTGTATTTGTATTTTATTTATTTATTTTTTTTAATTTTTTTATGTTTTTTTTTTCATTTATTTCTAGGAGAGAGAAAGAGACAGCATGAGCAGGGGAGGGTCAGAGAGAGAGGGAGTCACAGACCGAAACAGGCTCCAGGCTCTGAG